AAGACGTTGTTTTTGTCTCTGCGTCGCCTGTTCTAACCAGAAAAAATTACATCTATTGCGTTGACCAGAAATAGTACATGAGTATAGGAATATGTTAGGTAATTCTAGCAAAGAGTTCGAGATGTTTTCCGATGAGGACTGGGAACATTGGGGAGAGATGGGGTGAGTGAGAGAGAGAAGGGGGGGGGGGGGAGAGAAAGAGAAAACGAGAGAGAGATAAAGCGAGAGAAGCGCCATTGGCATCGGGCCACGGCACCACTCCCGACCGCAGAAGGCATCATTCTGTCTTGACCCCATTCTGTTTTGCGGTGGCTGATTGCGGTGTCTTCTTCAGATAGGCCTTTTTGTAGAAGTTTCCAAACAACGCAACATGGCTAGATATGTAGATACAGTATGCTATCTGGATGCCGAAAGGGAAGTCGCAGCGATTGTAGAAGGAGTAGATGCCGTGCACGAGGCAGATGAAGAACTGAGTCTGCAAATACGGCACCCGTGCACACGTGCGCACACGTTGAGAAGCGCGGGCAAAGACACGCAGACCCACACGTGCACGCACACACACACACACACACACACACACACACACACACATATATACAAACACACACGCACACTCCACATTCGCAAATGGTGTGCACAAACACACCATGACACAATCAGATCACTTTGGCTGGTCTCCGGTGTAGTAGTATTTCCAAGGCTCCACTGGTTATTTTCTTATACTGTACACCGTTTTTCTCTGTTCATTTACTTTTTTACTATGTACACATCCCTACGGAAAAACATGTGAAGAATGACAGAAAAACAAGACACAGGGGATGAAGGAACGTCTTGGCGATGAACTGGGAGCAACTCAATTGACCAGAGATCTCAACAGTGGCGCTGCAATCAGGTTAAATTGTGCACTTTGATACTGATTGCATAGTATGAAACCCAGACAGGGTAGTAGGAAGGTAGGCTAGCAGACAACCGACAGAGAAGGATCACCCCAACACAAACACAAACATAATCACAAACAATAATTTGAGTGTCCTTACCAGTTGGAATGTAGTCATGTACTTCTTCCACCAGAGGTACTTGCGGAACCCTGGGCCCAGGCCAGCCAGGAAGTAGTACAGATACATGATCACGTGGATGCCACAGTTCAAGCAGGCACCAAACCACGCTGCACAAACCAAACAAAACCAAACCGCGCAACAAAACATACAGTCATAATGTAGACCCACAAACAAACATGCAAAAAACGCCTGCACACACACACACACCTCAGACTTCAGACCTGTCCATCGCAGAAGCGATGATAGAGAACAGCTATGTTAGACATAGCAACTTGTGCTGGGATTACACCATTCAACAGCTTGCAAGGCTGATGAATACACACACACAAACACACACACACACACACACACACACACACACACACACATGTCATGGCCATGTCATGGTACACACTGCCATTACGGTCACGTGTCCCCTTGCGGGGCCGACAATATGGAACGACGAGCGACGGCAGTCCGCTGAGAGAGAAGTACTAGGTCAGGGACTCAGGGACCATGTTCGAGAGAGCCATTTCTGGCAGCTGTGGATTTGGCTTATCATCGGAAACGATTCCTCTCACGGCTGCCACTTGAACTGGCCCATCACTCTCCGCAGCAGGGCGAACATTCCATGAGCCAATGCTCAGAGTCGTTCCAAGTCGTCGTCTTCGTGCGGTAGTTTGCTCCACTCGCGGGCTTGCAAAGCCTCGTGAAGGACTCAGACACACACACACACACACACACACACACACAAACACACACACACACACACACACACACACACACACAGACAAGTGAAAGGGTCTGAGTTGCATAAAACTGTATTGATCTGTGATGACAATATCAAGAGGACAATCAGAATTGGTGTGCATGAGCTGCTGCTTCTGCACAATCACTCATTCTAAAGTGAACCGCATGGAATTGCTGAAAGCAATAGCAACTGCAACTGGAAAGAAACATTGGACCTGGAAATACAGGGGAGAATGGATAACCGGATAAACATATAGAGGTGAGAGAGAGAGAGAGAGAGAGAGAGAGAGAGAGAGAGAGAGAGAGAGAGAGAGAGAGAGAGAGAGAGAGAGAGAGAGAGAGAGAGAGAGAGAGAGAGAGAGAGAGAGAGAGAGAGAGAGAGAGAGAGAGAGAGAGAGAGAGAGAGAGAGAGAGAGAGAGAGAGAGAGAGAGAGAGAGAGAGAGAGAGAGAGAGAGAGAGAGAGAGAGAGAGGCAGAGAGAGAGAGAGAGAGAGAGAGAGAGAGAGAGAGAGAGAGAGAGAAGAGAGAGAGAGAGAGAGAGAGAGAGGAGAGAGAGAGAGAGAGAGAGAGAGAGAGAGAGAGAGAGAGAGAGAGAGAGAGAGAGAGAGAGAGAGAGAGAGACAGAGAGAGAGACAGAGAGAGAGACAGAGAGAAAGAGAGAGAAGATAGAGAGAGAGACAGAGAGAGACAGAGAGAAAGAGAGACAGAGATAGAGACTTAGAGATAGACAGAGACAGAGACTTAGAGGGAGACAGAGACAGAGAGAGAGAAAGACATGGAGAAAACACGCACTTACACAATCCACCAGCCACCCACTTGACACCAATGTACCATAGCATGAACATCGTACTATGGTGGTAGACATGAAGGAACGTCACCTGGCCATTCTTCTTACGCAGAATAAACATCACCTGTGGGAAATATGTGACCATGCAAGCACCAAAAACCTGTCTTGGGAGGCCACCTGCTTTTTAAGACCATCTGTCTTTAGTTAGATTCTTTACACAATTGTAGAGATCACCCGTGTCAAAAGAGAGTATACAGTGAAACCTGGTTTAAGTGAACACCCCACGGTGCAAGAAAAAGCGGTCGTTAAAGCCAGGTGGTCTTTAGAACCAGGTCCCACAGTGTCTGTGTAGAACTGTCGGTGCATGGAAAAACGGTCGTTAAGAGCAGGTGGTCGCTAAACACAGAGGTCGCTTACACCAGGTTTTATTGTATCTGAGAAAACCAGAAGAGGACGAAGTGGATGCCTTGTAGATCTAGAAAGAGTGCAATCCACCTCCGGTCCATCCTATTGATGCGAGGAGAATGATCTCGTTGGGCGAGTCAGCGGCACTGCTTATGGGCGCGGAGTATACTGCGTGAGTCAGCGGATTCGCGTATGGGCGCTGCGCATACAGCATAAGTCGCTGGTGCAGCGCTGTATGTACAGCACAAGTCGCTAGTGCAGCGCTGTGTATACAGCACAAGTCGCTAGTGCAGCGCGACTTTGCCAAAGCATCTCAGGCTCTTGATGTACAGTCGCGTTCTGGAGTTTAAGCCATACTTTAAACCCGAGCAATTCACCCAAACTTTGGGCCAAAGTCTTACACTGCAATGGTCTGAGACTCTCTTACACTGCAATGGTCGAATCAACGATGATAATCAGGCTAGATGTCTGTATTTCGTGACAACACAAATCTGGGTACAGTTTATTCTCCAGTGTGGCTTACACTCCGAACAATACGGTCTTCACATAACCTCTATACGGATACACACGCACGTATCGCCGGCGCGTAGGCGATGATGTGTTGCGTGTTGGACAGCAGCAACAACATGACTGCATGCATGACGGGGCTTACCGTGTCGGTAAATTCCAGCAGCTTTGATATGTAGTAGTACCAGCATACGTGCGCCAGCTGCAGAAGAACATAGACATGCATGAATACGTGCAAATTAAAACAAGCAATACGTCTGATAAGTGTTCTATTTTCAGACACTAAACTCCGAGTAACGGCAAGGAAGGACACGCGTAGGTGAACATACCAGCGGCGAAGCCATCACCTTTGTTTGGTATAGATGATAATGTCTGCATGCTGGTAACACACGTGCCAAGAGAAGCTCATACGAGCCGGTCCTCTACACATTCGGGTCCCCCGCTACCAGCACACCAGTCTTCTGAAGATCGCACAGAGCGTGAAGCACGGAGTTGAAACTGCCATGGCTGGCTATCGCCCCCCCCCCCCCCCCCCCTCTCCATATTGTCCTATGTTCCCTGGTCACGGGAAGGTGAAATAATAAAAAAATCTTTCAAAAACACTATAATTTTCCTCTCTCCCAAATGTATGTACGGTCGGTCTCCACCTGACAGTGTTCAGCACTCTTAGTTCCGCTTAGGATAATGATTCCAAATTTCAAATTTTCAATTTTCAAAATTTCAAATTCGAGTGTCATGTCCATTACATCAACAGGTTTTGTACACAAGTCTGATGATTGTCCCTCGGAATAGAGGAAGTCCAGAGTACGACTTTCCATGGTATAATCTGTAGAGGCGTTACGAATTTGTCACACGTCGTTTTCAAGTAGTGAACTGTTCCAGAGTATGGAAACCTTTCTGCACTCGATGACGCAAAATATCCACACGAAACATGGTACGTATGAAAGCCAGTCCACACGGATTCTCCGTGCCGAAAATCGTATGAAGCACGCCTCGAAACAATCCGTAGCGCCTGTACGGATTTTGGCACAGGAATCGTAACCCGCAACCTCTCTATTACATTTGTATTGTAGTGTATTTATTATTATTTTTACTTGGGCATTCTCAACAGACCCTAAGGTCTTCTTACAGGGTGCCCAATTACTTGTTTTGTACAATGCACTGCTAGCAACGCTCTGTGCACTGCTAGCAACGCTCTGTGCACTGCTAGCAACGCTCTGTGCACTGCTAGCAACACTCTGTACACTGCTAGCAACGTTCTGTGCACTTCTAGCAACGCTCTGTGCACTTCTAGCAACGCTCTGTGCACTTCTAGCAACGCTCTGTGCACTGCTAGCAACGCTCTGTGCACTGCTAGCAACGCTCTGTGCACTGCTAGCAACGCTCTGTGCACTGCTAGCAACGCTCTGTGCACTTCTAGCAACGCTCTGTGCACTGCTAGCAACGTTCTGTGCACTTCTAGCAACGCTCTGTGCACTGCTAGCAACACTCTGTGCACTGCTAGCAACGCTCTGTGCACTGCTAGCAACGCTCTGTGCACTTCTAGCAACGCTCTGTGCACTGCTAGCAACGTTCTGTGCACTTCTAGCAACGCTCTGTGCACTGCTAGCAACGCTCTGTGCACTGCTAGCAACGCTCTGTGCACTGCTAGCAACGCTCTGTGCACTGCTAGCAACGCTCTGTGCACTGCTAGCAACGCTCTGTGCACTGCTAGCAACGCTCTGTGCACTGCTAGCAACGCTCTGTGCACTGCTAGCAACGCTCTGTGCACTGCTAGCAACGCTCTGTGCACTGCTAGCAACGCTCTGTGCACTGCTAGCAACGCTCTGTGCACTGCTAGCAACGCTCTGTGCACTGCTAGCAACACTCTGTGCACTGCTAGCAACGCTCTGTGCACTGCTAGCAACGCTCTGTGCACTGCTAGCAACGCTCTGTGCACTGCTAGCAACGCTCTGTGCACTGCTAGCAACGCTCTGTGCACTGCTAGCAACGCTCTGTGCACTGCTAGCAACACTCTGTGCACTGCTAGCAACGCTCTGTGCACTGCTAGCAACGCTCTGTGCACTGCTAGCAACGCTCTGTGCACTGCTAGCAACACTCTGTGCACTGCTAGCAACACTCTGTGCACTGCTAGCAACACTCTGTGCACTGCTAGCAACACTCTGTGCACTGCTAGCAACACTCTGTGCACTGCTAGCAACGCTCTGTGCACTGCTAGCAACACTCTGTGCACTGCTAGCAACACTCTGTGCACTGCTAGCAACGCTCAATGCACTGCTAGCAACGCTCTGTGCACTGCTAGCAACGCTCTGTGCACTGCTAGCAACACTCTGTGCACTTCTAGCAACACTCTGTGCACTGCTAGCAACGCTCTGTGCACTGCTAGCAACGCTCTGTACACTGCTAGCAACACTCTGCCTGCTTTATCAGATGTACTGTGGGGATGAAGAGGCGCATGCGTTGCGGCCTACTTACTCTCACAGCTTGCGGGTCGTTGCTGTAGTCGATGGGTAAGCAGAAACGATTGGAGAGGTGCCGAGTAGAGCCATAGAACTGCGGGTACAAACAGTGCACAGACCACGCAATGATCACTAACAAGACAATTATACAGGCAAGGAAAACAAGAGCACAACAAACAACATCGGAGCAAGAACAAGAAAACAGCGACTCCCAACAGTCGTCTTTGCCCGCGGTGGAGCTGATTTAAACATGTTGGGACCCGGTGGAACCCTGCCTAGTGCCGGGTGGTCTGCACATCAAACACAGAGCAGCTACAGTGTTCCCCTTTTTTTCTTCCAATCTTTTCTTTTTTGTAACATGGAAATTGTGGGCACAAGTTATGCGATCGAGTCCACCAACTAAACCAGATTTTGAACAGCCAGATCTGGTTTAGTTATAGTGGACTCGATCGCATAACTTGTGCCCCCAATTTCATGTTACAAATGTTTCCTTGGCTCACCATCTGAGTTCTTTTCCTTTTTCCTTATATTTGTGTGCCTGTAGTCGATCTCATGAAATAAGGCAACACTGCCTGTTTGTTCATCGACATTAAATAAACCAATCCAATCCAATCCAAGAGCAGCTAAGATTAGCCAGTGCAGGCTAAATTTTATTTTTCAAGGAACCCCTTCGAAAATGGTAGCAATCGATTCAGCATGGCATTTTCATTCCTCCTGCAAAGTTTCAGCTGATTTGGAGTCATGACAAGGACGCTATGGCGATTTGAAGATCGAAAAACTTCACTTTTGTTTGTCAAGAAGAAAGACCATGATCGCACACAAATCATACAACCCGTGTGGCACAATGATTTTTGAACGAAGTTGATCCGCGGACCGCTTCGCGCATGCATGCACACACGCAGTACAGTACAGAGGCTTTTTTGAACGCGGATATGTAGTTCTTCGTCTTCTTCGAAATGTCTTCCAAATGCGTGGTGCTGGTGTTGTTCTCAGCTTCGTCAAGGCAGAATGCAGCTGCATGTGATGCTCCTGTGTGTTCATGCATGTTCTCTTTTCGCGTCTCGACATTGTAGCGTCCAGACTCTGCTCGACTGGAGAAGATTGAGGAGACTATGCTTTGATCCACATGGAAAATCGATGAAATTTGGTAATTATCGTCGGGCGCTAAAAAGCGCTGGGGAGCATGGGGCTAAAACTTCGTAGCAGTCATCCCTACCATGACAGGCATCGACTGGTATATGTTCCATTCTGTTCCCAACCACTACGGGTAGTCTGCGAAGCTTTCTTCTTCGCCGATTCTCGGACAGATCGTACGTCTTCGCACTGTATCTCCCGTCTCCCTCAACGGATCAAAACACGGTTTTCGCCAGGACGAACACAAACCCCCAGATTTCGCGGCGGCAACAACTTCGAGTAGGGAAAAGCTAGCAGCTAACCAGGAATCACCAAAAAACACGTGTAATACTCAGTGTGATTTGCGACAGCTGTCATTGTGCCGTCGCACCATGCATGTACCATGCACGGGAATGGAACACGGATGAGTCGTTTTATTACGACAGCCTGCACTGGCTACTAAGATGTTCCGACATACACGGCCCAACACACTTGTAGAAGACGACCAGAACCTGACTGGCCCACCCGGTAAGAGCTTGAATGGGATGACGTCAAAATTCAACATCTAACGGCAAATCAAGACTTTCGGATCCACTCAGCCCAGAGTGAAGCACAGGAAGCGGTAGGTCCAGGCCAGCACTCCGATATGTTGACTACCTGTCCTATAAACACAGAGAGGTCCAGGCTGTCCAATAGCTAGAGTGCTCAATACCGAAAGGCAGAGCTAGTTCAAACAATAATAAGAGGATGAGAAAAGTGTTTTTACTCCGAGTTTCACTCACTAAGCGATCATCAGAAAAATCGGTTTTCTGATGATCGCTTAGTGCGTGAAACTCGGAGTAACAACACGTTTTTTCATCCTCATATTATTGTTTGAACTTGCCCTACCTAGAGGACCACTTCAACCAGTAGGACCAGGGGGTGCTATTTCCAGTCAAATGACCCTGGATGCAGAGACCACCTGGCAACAGAGACCACCTGCGCTCGCGGAGCACATTTGCAAGGTCCATCGAGCAGTCCTCTTAGACAGATTTCACTGCAACTTCAAACAGAATAGCTTGACATCATCCAACAGATCAGCTTGACATCATCCAACAGGATTCGAAATCAATTGACCTCACCATCCACCCAGCTCTCACCTCCGCTCAAGAACGCAAAATTCTGGATAAACATCATCAACAGATTTATTTCTTCTTTTACGAATAACACAATCCCTCCGATCAGACAGAGAAAGGAAAAAAAAGGACTAAGAAAGATAGGAAGGACAATGACGAACGGCGCCTCTCCGTCGAAAGTTTCTCTGAGACAAGAATGCGACTTAATCCACCGTTCTTGTTCCTTTCCCTTTGCCTGCATTTCACCTGCTGAGAAGGCGTGAAAGTAGACTTGTGAAACCAAAAAAATACTTTCAAGATGTTCGTAAAGAGCCTGAAGTGAGTCCTTTTTCTGGGAAACATGGCTATCTGTAGGGGATTATTATTAAAACAGAGAGGTTCCAGGCTGTCCAAGAGAGTGCTCAATACCGAGAGGCAGAGCCAGGTCAAACAGTAATAAGAGGACAGAGAAAGGAATTTAACTCCGAGTTTCACTCACTTAGCGATCATCAGAAAACAGTTTTCTGTTTCGGTTTCCGTTTCTGTTTTCTGATGATCGCTTAGTGCGTGAAACTCGGAGTTAAAACACTTTCTCTGTCCTCTTATTGTTTGGGGATTATTATTAAACAGACCTTACCTCTAGCATCATGTAAAGATTGAAGATGACCATTGCGAGATTATAGACGGCCATTGATGTGCGAAGCTCAAACGCCTTGCGCTTCTCCATCATTACGGGAACCAGCCGTACAAAGACGAGATACGCTAACGTGAGGAGGAGAGTGGGAAGAGGCGAGTCCATCAGAGCCCAATCAGCCACCCTGGCATCTGCATTAGAACATACAAGTAAACACACATAAACGCACGTACACAAACATGCACACACACACACACACGCACGCGCGCACGCACGCACGCCCCCCCCCCCCCCCCCCCCCACCCACACACAAACACACACACCCACCCCCACACACAGTGACACACACGCACACACACACACACACAGGAGCAATAAGAAACGCACTACAAGCAGTGGCATCGGAGGACTACCTCATGGTGTACTTGGAAACTAGGAATTTCCGACAACCTAAGTTACCTTATCATAAAACATTTTTTTACTGATGTGCAAGGCTGTTATGAAGGCAAGTTGGAGATATTTACACACACACATGCACATACTCATACTCATGCCCATCGCGGGAGCGATGATAGTGAACACGCTATGTTGGACATAGCAACTTGTGCTCGGATTTCACCATTCAACAGCTTGCAAGGCTGATGAATTGACCGCCACTAATTTTTAGCCTGGTATCCACCACACAGCTGATTGAAGTGGCTTTTTCTGGCCAGTGAATCCCTATTTGTCATTTTTTCCATTCTTTTTTACATACGCGTACCTTTCTTAGCCTCCCACTCCTGCTGCCAGTAGCCCTCCAGCTTGGCACATAGCGGTGAAACCGTGGGCAGGGCACAGGCACCAGTGTAGGTGATATTCACCACATCCATGTTTGATCAACGCTATCCTGGACAATGCCTCTCGGATCTTAGCGGGTCTTAGCGTGACTTAGCGTGTCTTTGCTGACCTGCAGAACATGAACAGCACAACGGATTACGAGGCGGAGAGTTATATGTAGTAATCAAATAGATTCTTGGGTGGAAGCAAGCAAACCAGCACACCAAGCACAGAAGCAATGATTATAGTTTCGACTAGGCCTTTCCTACCATTACTGCTCAATTACGTTTCGAAGGACTGACCGCCAAAGTGCTGTATATTATAAGGACTTGCTTGCTGCGGCTTCAATCACCACTGTGTTCGACTTGAAAAGTAATGATACGAATGACATGAACTTAAGAATAGAATAACTGTTCCTAACTTGCAAAGCAGTTCAAGCCGATTCTAGGAAGTCTTCGAGGGGAAGTTACTACTACTTGAATCTGGTCAACATTATCCCTAGCGTGCCCTAAAACTCCTGTTCATTTTGTTTTCATTATTTTTAGCAGGGTTTTTTTTACTGTTTGGCGTACAAGAGTAGTGTTGATACCTATATGTAGACCCTCCTCGGTCGGTTTAGCTGCTTCTGCCCCGCCGCGTCCACTGCTTTGATTGCCATCACTATGTGCCTCCAGGCTGTACTGTCGTGCCGGCATTTGCACCATGATGGTTTGTGGCCATTTCGTGAAAACCCCCAAAACCGCTTTGCCTTTGCCTTGAAGTACTGTTGTTCAAGCAGATTGCTTGATGACTACAGCGCAATAGCTCCTTGGGGGTCGTCGCAAAAGCGTTTGTAGTCCCTGATACGAACATTATTCATTTCGAACTCGAACCCCCTCCCCTCCCTCTGAAACGAACACAGCTTGCTATGCTGGACGACGAAAATCGCATGCATGTACATGTCATATGTACAGTGTCGGTCGAATTGCGATTTTGACTCGCACCCCCCCCCCCCCCCCAACGAATGTTCGTTTCAGGTACGACAAAAAAAAAACGTTTGCGACAACCCCTTAGAAAGTTGATAAAAGTCACAAAGACTAAGTACAGGGGGTGGGGTTGGGGGGGGGGGGGAGTGGGGTTTTTTGGGGGGGGGGGGGGAGCACCTGTTACCTGTTTGCGGTCTTCAAAGTAGCCTGGCACCAGCATGGTCACTTCTTCTTTAGGCTTACACGTCCAACAGCTGGCAAGTACTACTGGTAGGTTGTAGGTTGTAGTGCCACTTGTACTAGCTCACTTGTACTAGCTCACTTGTACTTGTAGGCAGTGGCCTGGCTGGTCTACATGTATATGTATGTACAGGGGTGTCGGAAGGTATTTTAGTATTTTTAGTGTGGTCAGTCAGCCATCTGAAGTACAGTTTACTCCTGGGGAGGGGTTGCTGAGCCGAAAATTATAGAAATTTATTAGAGCCCAAATCAGTGCATTTTATTGATTCACAGGGTACTCGGGGCAAATAGTGGTGACCGTACCGTGTCCGACGCCCCTGATGTACTACAAGTGCATGATCAAGTTTTAATCGCTTCCCTGGATGCATCAGGTGGACCAACTTGGATCAAAGTGGTACCTTTGAACCATGTGCGACGGTCTTGGCATAACCTTTGGCCTCTACCACCCACTAGTGCACTGCACACAGCAATCATACGGACAGTTTCATTGTAAAAATGTAAATGCACACACTATACGTAAGCACACTGTGGCCGGGGTCTGCAAGTGTTGACCACTGCAGACGAAAAGAAGAACGCCTCTGATCTGTTGATTACTAAAATTAATAATTGGCCCGACAAGCAGTGATTCATTTGATTTCGAGGGTGGGTGATGGGGAGAAGAGCCTCAAGAGGGCGTTCAACAAAAAGCACATGATCCGATCGCTAGGACATGACTACACGCACTTAGCTATGATAATGATGGGGAAGGCCCCAGGTGAGTACCAGCTCTCGCCAATGCCCACCTGCACTTACAGCCCAGCCGGCATCAGCAATTCTTCACTACACTGTAAGTGTAAGTGTTCGCCTTACCTGCCGTGCTCGCTCAGCCTTCTGTCGCTCACCACGTGTCGCCCGCTGTGCTTGTATCTCAGTGGGCTATCTCGTCTGAAAATTCCTGCAGTGCGCTAGCTAGCGCGCCCTTCTCTCTGCTCCAATAAATTGTTACTCAATTATGTGCTGTGCGAAGAGACACGACGCGCCGCGGGCTCATCAGCTTGACTACTACCAAACACTGGGGTTAGCACACACCAAAGGACATTCCCAACTACAAAACAAACTCTCAGCACGACCAGAGCCTTTTTGTACGCAGGACTCCGAAAATAATAATAATTAGCAGCAGCACGTGGCGTGCGGATTTGAAAGCGAGAAAGGTCGCCCGCGTGCGCCGCGCCCACAATCTACACGTACATGTGCATGTGCCTTCGTGCACGTGTGTGTGAGTGTGTAGCGGCATGGCAGTAAACTGTCGAAGCGTAGTGCAAGCGTCCAACCAGCACGATGCAGTAGCGCATAGTGACTAGTGTAGCACTAGCAGTGTAGTGTAGGTCTACCATCACTGATCACAGTAATCAGGGTAATAATCAGCCTGATCAGGCTGACCATGGTCTACTCTACTGTCTACCATGGTCTACTGACTCAGTACTGAGTCTGTCTGTGTAGTTTCCAGCAGGGAGTCCTGGGCTCCCTGAGGCCTGGTTTCCAGCATGCATGCAGGACATGTCGACACGGCACGGTCTTCGCGAGATCCGGAGACTCGGCCCGGAGAGCCGTTCGTGGAATGCACGCATCAATCCATACATAGATCATGTATGATTGTACTGCGTGATGTAGTTCATCTACCGGTCTACGAGTACAACATGATAGGGCATGTGGTCTCTGTTGCCAGGTGGTCTCCTTATATCCAGGGTCATTTGACTGGAAATAGCATCCCTTGATCCTGGTTGCAGTGGTCTTCTGGGACAGGTGGTCGCCTTGACAGGCTTCACTGAACGGTATAATAGTATATCATGCGAGATATTAGTGTTCGGTTTACCACCTCGATATCTGGGGACGGTTAGAAGACATGCTACAATGAAACGTGCTACACAAGACTCTTGTTTCAGTCGTTGATCCCCTCCCCCCCCCCCCACACACACACAGTCAAAGCCTCACCACCAGTGGGAAGCCAGACTCCAAAAAACCCAGAATGGATGTACTGAGAGGCTGTGCCAGTTCAATATCGATCCTGACAGGACACCACGACGCGGCATACTAGATTATGTACAACTCCAGCACACTAACGATAGTAATATAAAACGTTAAAAAATAAAGCTAAAAACTAGCAAGAAATTCAAGTAAAAAAGGTAACAACGAACTTCAATCAGAAAATTAAAATCCACATGCTACAGGGCAATATGCACATGGGGAATACAACAATGTTGGTTAGTTCTCCGATAAGCTAAACTGGGGGAAATCCCTACTTCCAGAAGATACGCCTGCTAGCAAGCACGAACTCGTCCTGGACATCGCTGTCATCGCCATCGTCGTTGCCATGGGCAACTGATTGATTATCTACAGTATTGGCAGCCGGCAGCTGTACTGCACTGCCCTCGACCTGGGGAAGCATCCGGTTGGCGGCTGGGACCGGGCGATCGGGGCCCGACCCGGGGCCAATATCCCCGCCGGTCGCTGCCGCCTGCGGTGAGCCTAGTCAAGACATGGGCATCTGGTAAGCGGCGGCGTAGCGCCCCGTGCAGTGGTGGAACAGCTGACGCTCAATGTCGCCGAGTAGCGACGAGGCACCGATACGGAACAGCTCTGGTCGCGTCCATTCGTCACCCAGCTCCTCCTTCATCAGCGCTAGCCAGCTGCACAGGGCCGAAAGAAGAACAGGCACAAAGCGTTTAGAACACGCCACACGCCATGCATCACGGTCAAAAACAAAATTTCCTTTTTTCCCCTACTTTTTTCACCAGTTGAGGGAATGGAAAAGGGAAAAGTCGGTAGAAAAATTGACTGTCACCACCAGGACTCGAACCAGGGACCTTCGCTTGAGACCAGCAATTCTCTAACCACTGAGCTAAGGTGTAGTCGTCATCCCAGCAGAGACGGTTCAACATTTTCTTCAGACTTTGAAACTCACACTTCCTGTGACTCTGCACAGGCTGGTGGGATGCAGCCCTCACTGTAACCCACACACTTCACGCACAAACTAGTACGCATTTTTCCGCTACTGTTTCTGTTACTGCCCATTAGGGCCCCTCAACTTAAACACTCAAACAGAATCTGGCAGTACTGTAAAACATGTAATTTTAGGTGCATTAAAATTTCTGTGCCAGGGACCTGCCAGGTTTCAGGTGTAATTTAGAATTAGGTGACCAGCGTTCCCTCCACATACAGTGCATACTCTAGTGCCTTTTAGGTGTAATTTAAATTTAGGTGACTGGTTTCTCTACCGAAATCACCGAAATTGAAGTTACACCGAAAATTACATGTCTTACAGTACTTTAAGAACAGTTTACTGCACATCTGTCAAAATTTAATAAGTTTGGATTTTGGCCTGATTTTTCATCGACACACATAAAATGTGACCACACAGCGCTGGCCAAGACAGCTTGACAAGAGTGCTCGATACACAAACGTGCAGAGCATGCAGTACACACGAAACAACGAAGGCGATGGATGGGCTGTTTGTTGAGCGGCAACATGAAGTTTCACACCTTGTGAAGCACAGTCATAGTCTATGCAGAACCCAACCAGACTTTCGATCGGCGAGACTAAACTTTAGCCAATGCACCTCTTTTGCTAAAATCGCTAAAATCTCACCACCGCCAAAATTTTCATTGGTTTTAAGGGAAAGGTGAAAACAACGGGAGAAGTCGGGAGAAAAAGTTGACTGTCACCACCAGCAGTTGAACCAGTGACCTTGGTTGGAGACAGTGCTAAATTTAGCCAGTCTAGAGGCTCATTACACTGATGATGGGCCAGGCCCGAAAATTTGGTGTAATGCAAATTTTAATATTTTAAAATTCGAATCGCAGTGAAGAGACCGTTTTTGGAGTTTGGAGTTGAGAATTGAAGTTTCCTTAACGTTCTAAAGTATCACACAAGAATACCCATGCAACAGGCACTGACCTGAGTGCGTCCTTGGCCGAGCGGATTCCGCCGGCGGGCTTGAATCCCACGCGGTAGCCGGTGCGCTGGAAGTACTCGCGTATGGCGCGCAGCATGACCAGGGCGACGGGAAACGTGGCGTTGACACCCTCCTTACCAGTGCTGGTCTTGATGACGTCGGAGCCAGCCATCATGCTCACAACACTCGCCTACAGAGCAATGAGGACAGCGGACACACACACACAGAGAGAGAGAGAGAGAGAGAGAGAGAGAGAGAGAGAGAGAGAGAGAGAGAGAGAGGGAGAGGGAGAGGGAGAGAGAGAGAGAGAGGGAGAGAGAGAGAACAGGCAGAAAAACGAGAGTTTAACGCTGTCTTCACAACTGGCACGTGGACGCGGTACACGTGCGGATCATGCGTGCCCACACGTGTGCTCAGGCGTTCACAAAAAAACCCAGCAGTTCGACTTGTATTTAGGAAATTAGGGCGTGCGACGCCTTCGAGTGCTAATTTTTTTTTACCCCGCTCGCCTACAAGCAATGCCACAACGTACACACAGAGAACAGGCAACAAAACGGGAGTCTAAGCGGGGGTTCGTTATTGATCTACAGGTTTGGGTAGAATCTGAGTTCGCAAACTACGATCCACTGCAAGTCAACAAATATCCGGCGTATATTTATTTTCGGCTATTTTCGGTTGGCCTGGCCATGTTTGGCCCAAAATTTGTTGCGGCCGAAATTTTGTCTTGCAAGGTTCAGTGTGACAGTGTATACAGGCGGCAGCAGTACAGGCCGAACATTTGATGCGGCCGAAATGGGTTTCAGCCCTGAGAGGCCGAAATTCGAATGGGCCGAAACTTTGTCGACTGACAGTACTGTCTTCGCTCTTTCAGCTCTACTCTACTCTACCAAGTAGACACACACACAAACACAGCCTAACATACAGCATGTGATTAGTAATACACAAGCAGATCTCCCCCCCCCCCCCCCCCCCACACACACACACACCGATCGAAGAGTGCTCAACACTGTTAAGGGGTCTTCGCAAAAGTTTTTCGTCGTCCCTGAAACGAACATGATTCGTTGGGGGGGGGGGGGGGGAGGGAGGGGGTGCGAGCCAAAATCGCAAGTCGACCGACACTGTACATATGACATGTACTACATGCATGCGATTTTCGTCGTCCAGCATAGCAAGCTGTGTTCGTTTCAGAGGGAGGGGAGGGGGTCCAAGTACGAAATGAACGATGTTCGTTTCAGGGACGACAGAAAACTTTTGCGACGACCCCTAAGTTGGAGCCCGTCACACGGCAGGGAGGGAGGGAAATGTAAGTTACAATACAGAGTTCCACGCTCGGTGCAATCTATACGTACTACATGTAGTAACTGGCATGCTCCAGTGAGAGGAACAAACAGCCTTTATAAAATCATCGCTGGCATCCCTACCACTATTTCGTTTGGTTCACACAGAACCGAAAAAGGAGAAAAAAAGAGGAAAATGGGGAAAAAGTCAGGTTCTACCGAGATTTGAACTCGGATCGCTGGATTCAGAGTCCAGAGTGCTAACCATTACACCATAGAACCCTCCGCTGATGGCAAGGATTCGTCGACTTGAAATGAACACGTCACGTCACAGGTGACCATCACGTTGCCAATGTCGTGGTCATTGAGCGAATTACCCGGGGCCTGGTACCGTTATGAGCCAAGCTCAACTTCTGCGATGGCCCAGTTGCGGCGGTTGCGTGGACTGCGAGATGGACACGATTCGGGGATTTCCCGGTTTCGCGGCCGTCGCATACCGCATCGCAAACATGCTTTCTGCGAATCTCGCTCTACTGACTTAGCACGTAGTACACACGCTGCAGTTCACGTACAGTACACAGTATACAGTATAAACATGGACCAGCAGTGCTCGCGGCCGCTTCACTTCTCAACGGATTTCTATGTCGACAGGCTGCAGTATTAACCTCAAACACAAGCATTCCAACTCCAATGAAGTGTGTAGAAAAAGAAGCAGGAGAGAGAGAGAGAGAGAGAGAGAGAGAGAGAGAGAGAGAGAGAGAGAGAGAGAGAGAGAGAGAGAGAGAGAGAGAGAGAGAGAGAGAGAGAGAGCAGGAACAACTGATGATATCATGACGACATTCCTCGGCGAAACCAGCAGGTGTAGTACAGGCGGTGCACTAGCCGATTCCAGTGTTTCTCTTGCCTCGGGAATGTACAACGAATGTGATACACAGATACAATAGTATCACTGCTGTACTGGCATAAACGTACTCACCGATGCACATGCACACACAGATACACATACGGACATACTCACACACACACACACACACACACACACACACACACACACGCGCGCGTGCACAGCCCGCCAGCTCACCTTGTAGACGTTGGTAAGAGTTCCCAGTTGACCAGTAGCCAGGATGGTCTTGAGATGTGCATCGCCGCATGCTTCACGCATAGCCTTCACCTCATCATACAGTGCCTATGTACAACACACAAGAACACACAACACAGTAGGATCAGCCCTCTACTCACATAGTGCTTAACGCCGAAAAGGACAGAAATCATCCCCCCGCCCCGTTTGATAAGAGAAAGAGTTTTGCCTGATGATAGCGCAAGCGTGAAACTCAAGTCTCAGTAAAGCCTTGCTCCACCTTATTTTGTGAGTTTACAACGAACCACATAATAGTCATCAGCTTGAGTACTTAACTCGCAACAGTTTACAACTCCCATTGATCAGGAGCTCAAACACAGCAGCTCTTCTCCGATCATCGGGAACAAGTACGGCGTGGCCGACACACGGAAACACACGGACACACACACGCAGACATGCCCTTCCCATATGCACACACACAAACACACACACACACACACACACTTGTACTTGTTGCTCACTGCCAAAACTGGTCACGTGGGTCTCCCCGGAAGAGGGGAGAGAGACTCAAAAGGAATCTTGGAAAGATGACTCAACTGGCTATTGAACCGCCCAACGGCCGACACCCCCTGAAATCCCCAAAACTCTGGGTGGACTTGAAAATGATCCCACTTATGGGCTCACCACACCTCAGTAAGTGGGTGAGGACAAGGTGCAGAAAAAGGATTGACGGCATCAGGGTATCCGTCCAGGGATCCAACTGCAGTTACCCCTGCCCCCAGTGAAGGTAATACTTGCTACTAGTGTGGGTGGCTAAATCAGAGTGGATCTGATCTAAGCGTCACTAGCATCATTGATTACACAAGAGTTAATCTAGCCAGAAGCAGTCCATGGTTAACAGGTATGTATACTTCAAATAGAAAGTATACGAACCCTGAAACCAACAAAGGTGGCAGATACAACAATACACCTTCAAGCAGCCGAGCCTGTTGGCAACAGACCCAACACAATCAGGCATAAGTGTACCCACCAACCGGACTAGCTGGCACACACACACACACACACACACACACACATGTGCGCACAGGGACGGACATACGTACAACTCTCCCTACCTGCCAGTTGCCAGTCAGCACGTGTGTTCGTGTGATGACAATGTCAATCTCTGATGCACCAAACGCCACGGCTTGACGGATCTCAGCTAAGCGTTGCTCCATTGGTGTCTGGCCAGCTGGAAATCCAGCGGCAACAGATGCAATAGGTACCTAAGAGAAACAAAACAACAAAAGCTCCATCATTGTCCCAACTGCTTTGGATCTACTGCAAATAAATTATATTTCGAAGTCATTTTAATGTCGCAAATTCCGTAAGGCTCCCGCCACTTACGAAATTAAAACGCTTACAAAAACACGGTACAGTATACATGTACGTAGCAGCCCCCCCCCTCCCCCGATCGATGGGACTTTACGAAAGTTAGATGACTGCGAAGTAGGGGTGAAACAATTATACCGAATATTCGAATACTCGTTTGGATTTTTCAAATATAACTGTACTCGGAATAAATCAGAGTACTCGCTCATACATGGTACATGAATTTACCACAGAAGTCTGCAGTTTCAGAGCAGCAGTCAGCAGATATTGATGTGCAGACTGTGTGGTTAACATTTGTTCACCAGTAGAGAGAGCCCAAATGACCCGCCAACCAATACACTCGAGAAAAAGACTGCCGATTGGTTCAATCAGGGTTGTATCATGTGATTTTAAGGCCCTTGGTGCGCGATTTTTTAGGATATCAAGAATACTCGAATATTCGATCGGAGAAAATCAGAGTACTCGAACTCGGGATCTCAGTGCCAACTTTAAACCCCTACTGCAAAGTGTTCCTTTCCTCAGTTTACGAATGTCACTTGTTTACGAAACATGATTGATTAACAGTATCTCCCCCCCCCCCCCCCCCCCCCCCTTCTCCCATGGGGTACGCATACTGCCATAGCCAGTTCATGGTAGCATGTCTAAAAGAGTAAAGCGCATGTGTGTGTGTGTGTACGTGCACGCGCGCACGCGTGTGTGTGCGCGTCTGTTTCGCCACTATTCAGCCTGGTCTACACCACACAGCTAAGAAGTGGCTTTTCTGGCCAGTGAATCCCTACTTTTTGGTCTTTTTTCCTTTTTTCCTGCACACACATCAGTGTGCGGTGTGGACCAGGCTGAATAGTGGCGGTCAATTCTTCAGCCTTGCAAAGCTGTTGAATGGTGCAATCCCAGCACAAGTTGCTATGGCTTCTGCTGTAGCATCGCTATCATCGCCTCCGGCAATGGGCGTCAAATGGTCCAATGGTGTGTGTGCGTGTGTGTGTGCATGTTTGTATGTGCGTGTGTCAGTGTAAGCGCATGTATGTGGGTGCAAGCTTGCAAACCCACATCAGGAACGGCGGAAGCAGTTTTTGATTGGTCCGGCCATACCCTAGTCTTTCATACAGTTTGTGTATGATATGTAGCGGGGTAGTCACATGACTTTCATACAGTTTGTGTATGATATGGAGGGTAGTCACATGACTTTCATACAGTTTGTGTATGATATGGAGGGTATACACATGACTTTCATACAGTTTGTGTATGATATGGAGGGTATACACATGACTTTCATACAGTTTTTTTATGATATGGAGGGTATACACATGACCTCCTCAGCAGTAGACACACGTTGGTGGGCAAAACGTTGGTCCGGCCATGGCCTGAGCAACCAGACCGATTCCGCCGGGCCTACACATACTAGTAGCTGCACGTGTGTCAGCGTGTATTGGGTGCACGGAGTGCCCCGTGTGCGCGTGTGTGTCCGAAGTTAGCAAGTTGCACATGACAATGGTTACTAGTGTGAGTATGTGTGCGTATGTGCACATGCATCTGGCTACAGGGATACTCGGGTGCGCCGCGCACAACTGTACACGAGTGCGCGTACACACACACGCGCGCGCACGTACGTGCATCACTAACCGTGGATCCGGCCTCCTTGAGAGATCGCACCGCGTCCTCCACTCTGGACGAATAGACACAGACGGCACCACACGTGATGTTCTTGTGCTCCATACCAAGTTGCTCGATCAAATCTTGTCGCACTGGTGTCTGGGCCTTGAAGCAGAGGCGTTTGACATTTCCAGGCGTGTCGTCTCCGTCCAGCGTGGTCAGATCGATGCACTGCACGGCGCGCAGCAGCCACGCAGCCTGCCACTCCTTCTTCACCGAGCGTCGCGTCTTGTGCGTGGCCGCGCGTCTGTTCGCCGCTGGCATGTTGACGCGAGCCGACTCGACCCAGGCCAGGTCCAGCTCCATGCCGGCATTCCGCACCCAGTCCTTGGTGGCCATGTTTGCTCAATAAACTGCCCTCGGCTCTTTCACAAGGAAGTAGCAGCCACAGAGAAAGAAACCAGCTCTAGGACAAGTACTAGGAGAGACAGGAACAATCCTTCAAGATGAGATTTTTTGCAAAAACAAACACAAGAGAGCTTTGGTCGACACATGCGACGATCGAGTACGGATGATGATGAAGGCGAAGGCGAAGAGAGGTGTGCGCGTGCCGCGAATCCCTCTTGGCTCCGTCGTTGTCATGGAGAATATGGCGCTATTCGTAGCGTCCTCAAGCTTTCATTACGAATGTCGTTGCAAAGACGATTTTCTGTTTCTTGCATTTGCGGCTCGAGCTGTGATTTTTGAATGACATGACCAGTTAGTTTTCCTGTCAATGGCGAGGCGATAGAGAAGAGTTGATTTTTGTTTGTTCTCGCTTGGCAAATGGTGTCCAGAGCAGGCCTGATGTACAGTTGCCGATCAAAGCTCGACAGTACTTTCCCTATCTACTGGAAGTGTATGTGTATGTGGTGCCATTGCTTGCCCACTGCCCAGTGCTGTTTGACAAGATAACTCATTGATTTCGTGCTTCGTTCTCCACTACCGTCGTGGATTGCTTGTGGAGTGTCGGGAGCCTTTCATTGTCCTCAGTGTCCACTCGTAGATTTACACTATGTCGGCGCGTGGACTGTACAAACCGAGCAAGGCCCAGGCAGCTGTGGAAGTAGCCGCCGCGCCAGTTTCTGGAGATGATTCCTCGCCAGCTGTGTACTGTGTAGTCGGTAACATTCCTAGTGACCTGCACTCGGCCGATCTGCGTGCGTTCTTCTCGCAGATCACCGAGCTAGGCGGCTTCCACTGCTTCCATTATCGCCACCGTCCCGAACTGAAGCCGACCAGGACACCAGTAAGTGTTCCTGTCTTTTTATTTCCTTTCCTCCATTGCTTCTTTCGTTCCATATTCGCCTTTATGTTATTGGGCCCAGTTGCCGTTCAATGTACGAAGTTAAATAAACACGAACAAACAAACAAGTGGCTAACAGCAGCTTGCCCGGAAAGCCCCAGCGTGGCTCAAATCTAGCTGTAGTGAGAAATAGCCCACGAATCCGGTCATGCAGTGTTGTGCAGCATCATGTTGCCGAGTTTGTGCATGAGGTAGTCAGACGAGTCCGTGCCCACCCCCCATTCCACCTTCTGTAGGTGTACATATCCAGCAAGAGTACATGAAAACCAGAGTGTGCAGCTCGGATGGGTTGCTGTCACGGCGAAATTCCGTGATTACATCATTTTAGTGATGTAGTGCGTACAAGCAGGATTCAAGCAGGTCTCTTTCTGCCCAACTGCAGCTCAGTTGTACGCACTGCACCACTTACCGCCTCAGATCTGCACCAAATACGATGTGATCGTGGAATTTCGCCGTGACAGACACCCATAGTAGAAAAAGCCCCAAGCTGCACGCTTTGGGTTTCATGTGCTCCTGATGTACACGTGTTACTGTATAAATAGATTTGCCAGAAACCTGGAGCTGCAGTGCAGAGTCGTGAGGGTATGGTCACCGTACCCAAATATGGCCGGTGTGTGATCACCACACATGCACATGTACAGTAAAGTCTGGTTTTACCGGACCCTGTGGCAAGTGGAATCATGATTAATTGTTTTGACCCGGACACAAACAGGGGAGAGAGGGGAGTATTGCTTTCAATTCCATGATCCTCCGCTTTTGTAATTGTCTTGTGATCCGCATCGCCTGCAGGAGGATCAGCCGTCATCCAGCGCCGACAGCAACACCACCGACAACACCGCTGCTGCAACATCCTCGTCACCAGCACCACCACCGACATGCTGTTGTGTGATTGGTGTGAAGCAGTCGCATCTCGTCGACTTGTTGCGTAACTACGACAAGAAGCTCTGGGTTGATCAGGCGGGCAAGTACCGCAAGAGCCGCGTTCACATCTCACAGCTCAAGACCAAGCAAACGACAGCGGACGTGACGGTTGCCGGTGATGATCCCGGGAATAACGAGATGCAGTCGTCCTCACATGAGCGAGACGTTGGTTCTCGGGCTCGTGGCGCTGGTAGCCGGTCGGAGTCTATCGCGTGTGGTGATCACATTGAGAGCGTACCGGCGCTGATCGGTGAAGATCGTGTTGCTGTGGAATGCGCTCCGGCACCCAGCAGTCACGGCGAAGTCACACACAACACCCAGTGTGCGTTGTCATGCAGTGACTCACAGCAGCAACGGCAGCGGCAGCAGCAGCAGGTCGGGAGCGGACGCCACTCGGTGTGTCCTGCACCGGACAATGCCGCCCCTGACACTACATCAAGCTCATCTGGGCCTAGTCCAAATTTTAGAACAGGGAATTCCCCTGCAAGCAGTTCCGGTGTTGTGTTATCATACCCTGGTGACAAGAATACCTGTATGGATGATGTCACCATGGTAACACCCACAGTCACGCACGACCCGGGCAGAGCAGCATTGCAGAGCAGTACGATGACCGACAATGCCGGTAATGATAGCGGCATTCGTGACGATGTTGATGGTGGTGATGATGATGATGCGCTTGCCCTGGAGCAGCTGGTAAAGCTGCCCGAGCTGCGTCCTCCGTCCGTGCTACCCAACGGTAATGTGGGTACGCCCAACGAAGTCCTCATGGACCTGATAGCGAGGTGTAAGTTTCCGCCGCGCCTCATCACCAAGCTGGGACTGAACTTCCCGACAATGAAGCGACCGCACCGCTACGCTTCCGTTCCTTTCATGTACTCGGAGGAAAGTCGTCGTCGTCGCCGTGGTGGTGATGGTGGTGAGGGTGAACATTTGCTGCCGTCGTCGACGCTCAAAGCACGCGCGACCACCCTCTCTAGCGCCCTGTATGGGAAGAAGCCGTCATGTTCACGGTCTGGAGTGACGCCCAATGCTGGTAGCGGTGGTAGTAGTGGATGCGGCAGCGGCGGTGGCAATGGCGATTACGACGACGTGGCCATTGGCACTACCACGGCCGCCGGCGAGCAGCGAGCTGTGCACGGCGGTGGCGTTTGGACAACAGCAGACGGACATCGTCTGTGTGATGACACGCCAGGAGAGGGCACGGCGAGAGCAGCAGCAGCGCCACAACCCACACCAACAACGGCAACAGTAGCGGAAGCGGAGATGACGACGACGGACGTCACCACTCCATCACCGTCCGTCGCCAGCAACCTGGCTGCAGCAAATGAAAACATCTCGAAGGTGAGGATCTATAGATATGAGAAAAACTCGAGGAACTGCCTGAGCAGTATTCCGAAGAAATTTCTCAAAACTCGGACCGAATTTGAATTATTTGAAACGCACACCCTCCTTAAAATTTCCACCTAGGTTCAGTATGCACATAATGATCATGATGACATGCCCCAGCCATCCTACACGTACACGTATGATCAAGAGCAAACTAACCTTATAATACTCTTGGTATGATACATGTGAAGTGGCGGTGCATGTCCCTAACTTGAGGGGGTGCATCCCCCTAACTTGAGAGGATGCATCCCTCTAACTTGAGGGGATGCATCCCTCTAACTTGAGGGGGTGCATCCCCCTAACTTGAGGGGGTGCATCCCCCTAACTTGAGGGGGTGCATCCCCCTAACTTGAGGGGGTGCATCCCCCTTACTTGAGGGGATGCATCCCCCTAACTTGAGGGGATGCATCCCTCTAACTTGAGGGGGTGCATCCCCCTAACTTGAGGGGGTGCATCCCCCTAACTTGAGGGGGTGCATCCCCCTAACTTGAGGGGTGCATGCCCCTAACTTGAGGAAGTGCATCCCCCTAACTTGAGGGGTGCATGCCCCTAACTTGAGGGGTGCATGCCCCTAACTTGAGGGGGACCAGCTACACCCCTGCATTGCCTGCATTGAAAATGTTTCATTTCCTTTTTCTTCTCTGCTCTTCACAGGTATCAGCAGCGCCCTCCAAGCCCAGGTCTGCGCGCACGACACACAGTAGCAACGTAGGCAGCCGTGTTGTCGATGATGATGCTGGTGGTGCAAGGGAGAATCATGACGAGGTGTCATCCGAAGAAGAGGTGATTGGAGAAGAGGACGACCATGATGCAGAGGAGTGGGATCGCTACGAAGCCCTTCACGACGATGTCGATAAACAGGTATGCGATGCGACGGGGGATTTTAGGTGTTTGGGTGATGGCAACCACTGAGTCCATTCGATTATGCCCGTGAATCGATTCGCGCTATTCACATCACCCCATGTGAATAGGGTGAATGGATTCCGAACCGATTCCATAGCTCATGACATGAAATCGAACGGCGAGATTCCATTCATGAATCGATCAAGTGCGTAATTGAACACAGCCCCTGAAGAGAGTCACGAGAAAACGTTCTGGTTAAACCTTATCAAACTGGTTGTAATGACAGCACAGCTGATAGTACTGATCCTATGGCTACGAGTATTCTCCTATTTGCGCTGTATTAAAATTGTGTGTGTGCGTGCGTGTGTGTGTGTGTGTGTGTGTGTGTGTGTGTGTGTGTGTGTGTGTGAGCACATGTTTGCTATCATCGCTTCCGCGATGGGCAGGTCTGCGGTCTGAGGTGTGTGTGTGTGTGTGTGTGTGTGTGTGTGTGTGCGTGCACGTGTTTGTGCGTGCACGTGTGTGTGCGTGCACGTGTGGAGTTTTGTCAGGAGTTTTATCACCAGCAGTAGAGCATACATGTACACCTGGATGGAGTGTTTTTTACACGCAAGTATACTGTGTAGCCAGCTAGCCACATACACACACGACCTCTCAGCTCTGTATGTTCTTGCGTGTGTTCTGCATGCAGGGTCGCACCGAGGAGCGTCTGTTTGAGAACGAAATTGAGCTAAAGTGGGAGAAAGGAGGCAGTGGTCTTGTGTTTTACACTGATGCAGCCTACTGGGATGAACTGAAGGGAGGTGAGCGGTGATTCATGTGCTCAGTGCGTAGAGCGCTTAGTTAGGGGCCATCCGTAAATACCGATATTTATTTAGAAACGAAAACTAGTCGTTTAGGGGGAGGGGGTTGAGTACCTGGTCGTTGCTCGAAAAAAATATCGATGCACAGTTTGCGTGTGTGTGTGCACGTCCAGAAAAAAAGAAAAAAAATATCGATACTATGTACCGTTTGTATGTGTTCGTTTCTGAGGGAGAAGGGGGGGGGGGGGGGGGGGGGAGGGGGGTTGAAGAGAAATGACTAGTTTTCGTTTCTAAACGAGAGAGCTTGGAAGCTCAGGGCCCTACGCTATGCTTTTTTGCCTTGATGACCAAGACACAAAAAAAAGCATAGGGATGTTATAAATTCTTTAAAAATAATCCTTTTTTTTTAAGCCATAACCTGGGATTCGAACCCGCACTATCGCGCGCCCTGCATGCATCCCCCGATACACTTCGCATACATACTAATTCTTCCAAGTTGTTTCACATTGTGATCTTGCATTTGAAAGCCCTATTTGAATATGCATTGTGGCCAGCCGTCTTTGATGGCAAGGTACGGTAGGGGATAGGTACGGGACAGGTACGATCGAGGGTAATACGACACCGTCTCCCGTACCGTACCGTACCATCAAACACAGCTGGCCACATACAGCTGCCCGCAATATTCAAATAGGGCTTTCAAACGCAAGATAATAACGTGAAGCAACTTGGAAGAATGGGTATGAATGCGAAGTGTATGGGGGAATGCATGTAGGGCGATAGTGCGGGTTCAAATCCCAGGATATGCCTGGAAAAAATAGGAGAATTGAAAAATTTATAACATCCTATGCTTTTTTGCCGTCAGATACGGATAGCGCCAGGCGTGACACAAACAAACAGACACACAAACAAATACCAAACGAGAGAGCTTGGAAGCTCAGGGCCCTGCGCTATGTTTTGTTGCCTAGCTCCTCGTGCATGTTGTTAGAACTGATGGAAATGCTTTTTCCTTTGATTAGCCACATCATTGTATTGCAAAAACGTTTCAATGAGATACTGAAGTAACGTCTTCTGCATAGCTATGGGACCGGCGCTGACTCTGCCGATCACGGGCGTTCTGGAGTCGACGGGATGTCTGTCCTGACGTTTCCTGGGACCGGCGCGGACTCTGCCGATCACGGGAGTTTATCTTCTTCTTATTATTATACTGACGGCAACTAACATCCATTCTGATTGCATTTACTCGTCTCCCTACTTCGTATTTCTTTCCAGAAAATCTCCCCATACAGCAGGGAGTCGTTTACATAATATGACTCCCTGCTATACATCTACATGACTGTATAAACGTTATAATTATTATGCTATCCGCCTACATGCGATTCCCGGGCTGTTCGACAGGCGGCCCAGCCAGCCTGCTAGTGGGATCTCGGCCTCGAACACAAATCCACACAAAATGTTACCGCACTGAATGCATTCCCCCGATACACTTCGCATATATACTCATTCTCTTGTTGGTACCGTACTCTTGATGGTACGGGACAGGTATGGGATAGCGCCAGGCATGTCGATGGCACAAACAAACAAAAATATTATGGCCAGCTGTCTTTGCTGGTACGGTACAGTACGGGACAGATACGGGATAGCGCCAGGCGTGACACAAACAAACAAACAAACAAACACACAAACACACAAATACCAAATTAAAGCTGTGTGGACCCTGGCTAGCGCCAGACGTTACTGAAGTAACGTCTTCTGCATAGCTACGGGAATTAAAGCTGTGTGGACCCTGGCTAGCGCCAGACGTTACTGAAGTAACGTCTTCTGCATAGCTACGGGAATAAATATCTATATTTACGGATGGCCCCTTATCCGGCGCCCAATCATCCACTATGTCAGTTATTGCAAAAGCAGAAATTTTCGGTGGTGTTTTATTTTCGGTAACATCGGTGCCGAAATTTTTACCGGAAATAAAATGCACCTAAAATTTCGTTACAGTACTACAGGTCCTCCCTCGTTAGTAGATGATCTCTGGGCCATCGAAAAAGTTATCTTATAACGAGGCTTATCTTGTAATAGGACTTGCAGCTGAAGGTGAAATAGGCACTAATACATACTTACCTGGGCTACCCTCGATACAACTTAAATTAATATGGCTGCTAAATAGTACCCGTTAACCCGCTCGTTAAGAAAATTACCCGTTCGTTAGTCAAAGGTACACCCGTTTGACCCCTAAATTCATGACCCATAATAACGGCATAGTGGTTTTCATAGAAGTTGTAAATATGTCTGAGGGATGAATGTTTACTTTTTAGATTCATATACCCATTTTCAGGAAGAATTGGAACTTTGAGCAGCATTGTTCAGCTGCTGTCATGGACAGGACTGAAGCAGTGAATGTGCAGAAGAACATTACAGGTGTGGCACGGGGTGGTTTCATGACGACATATCGCACATGCCATTGTGAAACTACCAGTTTTAAGAATAAAACAAGGTCCAATAATCTTATATAGAGGATTCGAAAAATAGGGCATAGGCCTTAGTAATATTGCGCAGGGAGATGAGCCTGAGATGTAAGGAAGAATGGGTCACATACTTTTTCCTATGCTCATGCCGCACCCATTTCGAGTTGAAAAATATGACCAAAATCCTATATACCGTAAAATCCCGCCAGAGCGCCCCGTCTCTCCTATCCGCCCCTCCCTGACTTCTTGTCAGGGATGTATCCTCGTATGACTCTGTCGCAGTCTGTGATGCCGTACTGTACTGCAGACGCGTGCTCGACCCCGTTGGAAATGTACGCAACAGTGCCCACCCTAGGTACCCTCTTGACCAGGGATCGCACAAACCCTGAGTTTTGACGGGTCTGTACGACTCCTGGCTCTTGACCTTTGGTCGGTGCACGAGATGCACGAACAGTTTTCGTAGGGTGAGTACTTTTTCATGTTGCACTGAATGCGGCAAGTAGGACTCGCCCATCCGCCCCTCCCCACCTGAAGCGACGAGGAGGTAGGCTGGCGGGATTTTACGGTAATATTATAGCATCTAGCAAATTACCGTATTTCCTCGATTAATATACCCGGTCTTTTGTTTTTTGAAGAGGGTTGGACCCCCGGTCTCTTATTTGGGCATGGTCCATTTTTTGAGCACGGTCCACTATATTTTCATCGGCACATTGCTGGAAATGGTGGATTTTTAACACGTCATAATATAGAAGTTCAAAAATATAATTCAAACAGTAGTTTGGAGGCGGTGGGAAAACAGTTTCTTAACCCTTTAAGAGCCGCCCCATACTTGAATGCGTCGTAAACGACGCATTCAAATGCAAAATTTCAAAAGATCGTAACTCAGTCCAATCTCGCTCAAATCCAGTGATCGAAATATCCAGGGCGAAGAGAAATCTCTCACCTGTCGGGAAAAACAATCCGCGAAGCGCTGCGAGCAACGGTTCCTGAGATAAATCACTCGTAAGTTGAGCCGCGATCGCGGCAATTTCAAAAGCGCGCAGTGCGACTTTAGTATTGATAATTTTGAGACTTTTCGTCAAGCTGGCTTACTCGAATTTGCACGGGTTTCACTGTTGATATTGTCAAGAGTACACAGCGAAAAAATTGGAACTCCACGATCGAGTAAAATGAAATATCTGGAGCGGGACGCAATTGGCCGCATTTGGGGCATTTTTCGTACTGTCGCTGCGATCTAGCGCTGGATAGGCGGTGTGCTGGCTATCATGATCGACCTCATTCTCTTCCTCTCGCGGAGACCTTTCCAGGAAGCCCTAGATTGTGAGGATTGAGTGAGTAGAACTGAAGCTATGATCCAAAGAACACGAAAAAATGCACAATTTTGAAAATTTCCTGTGGCTCTTAAAGGGTTAATAAGTATTCGCATGCAACGACGCAAATCCACACAATTCAGTAGACACTTCTTTTCTATCAAGCGTTTTCTTTCCCTTCTCTTCAGGATAGTACAGGGAATGTTGTAAATTTGAAAAACACATAACTATATAGAGAATGAAAGAAAGAAAAAAGTCAACACTTCAACATAGGTGTTAAAATGATTAAAGTGTAAAAAACTCAAAAACAAACAGCTGCAAGTTGTAGACAAACACGTTGAACACATCAGGGAACACTTGTCACACTTTCACGAGGTGTGACACCAAACAACTGCAACGATAACACATTCTCCTTCTGTACACATAGTTCTGGATCTAGTTTACGAATATACAGAGCTTCTAACACAGCAAGATGTAACTTAGACCTTCCACGAGTCAAAATCGAAAAGATATCATCACTATACAACTTACGACAACTAGCACTGCCCGACAAATGACGCTTGATGGACGGTGTCCGATTACTTAGCTCTGTCACCTTCGACGCCTGGCAAGCCTAACGGAAGAGAACAACGGCAGGCCACGGGTGTTTGCAGTGCATGAACTCTGGCCAGTGGTCCCCGTACGCAAAATGCGTACGCATTTGGATCTACCGTACATTTCCTCGTGTTTTGGGCGAATCTGAGCGGTACGACGCTGTCGAATTGGGTCTGAATTTGCCCTGAACCAGCCGCTATCGAAGTAAAATTAGGTGTTTTGAAGGCCACACGGGAACACTGTGACCATGTCTTCGTTCCTGCGTCGTTTGTTTGAAAATCGGAGTGTTTTTGAGCTCGAAGTTCGTCTTCGTTGTGGAATGGCCGTGCGTACATTCTCCTTGGAATTACCAAAGTCACACCCCCGTTTATTACATTACTAGGAGTTTTGCCGGCAGCCACGATAGTTTTTATCCCTGCTTCCATACGTCCTTTCATTGAACAGCCAAACGAAACTTTGTGGCGCGCCTTAGTTTTTTGTGGCGCGGGGGTCTCAAGTTTGTCACTTCGAGTTGTACACAACGATCACATCAACACCTCAAAGGACCAAAAAAACCAAGGGAGCAAGTATTTCAACCTTGCGATTCTGCCTGGCCTACTCTGAAGATGGAGACTTCTACTCGGTAGCACATACTCGTATCAATAAGCTGGGAGGGAGAGCGTGGCGAGTAAAATGTTGGGATGAAAAGAGCCACATTCTCTCTCGGAAAAGGTCGTCGTTCCTACACTGGCTACACACTTGCTCTTCCCAGCTCTGCAGAAGGCTAGATTTTGCATGCACGTGCGAGATTCGCATCCGCCACGCACATAGGCAGAGTCGAAATTTTTGTACTCTCGGATTTGCCGCCATCTTGACGAGTGGCCACTGCGAAACACCCGTGAGGCGTCGAAGGTGACAGAGCTAAGTAATCGGACATCGTCCATCAAGCGTCATTTGTCGGGCAGTGCTAGTTGTCGTAAGTTGTATAGTGATGATATCTTTTCGATTTTGACTCGTGGAAGGTCTAAGTTACATCTTGCTGTGTTAGAAGCTCTGTATATTCGTTAACTAGATCCAGAACTATGTGTACAGAAGGAGAATATGTTATCGTTGCAGTTGTTTGGTGTCACACCTCGTGAAAGTGTGACAATTGTTCCCTGATGTGTTCAACGTGTTTGTCTACAACTTGCAGCTGTTTGTTTTTGAGTTTTTTACACTTTAATCATTTTAACACCTATGTTGAAGTGTTGACTTTTTTCTTTCTTTCATTCTCTATATAGTTATGTGTTTTTCAAATTTACAACATTCCCTGTACTATCCTGAAGAGAAGGGAAAGAAAACGTTTGATAGAAAAGAAGTGTCTACTGAATTGTGTGGATTTGCGTCGTTGCATGCGAATACTTATTACGAAAAATACGAGAGAGCTTGGAAGCTCAGGGCCCTACGCTATGCTTTTTTGCCTTGATGACCTAGACAAAAAAAAAGCATAGGGATGTTATAAATTCTTTAAAAAATTCCTTTTTTTTAGACATAACCTGGGATTCGAACCCGCACTATCGCGCGCCCTGCATTCATCCCCCGATGCACTTCGCATACATACTAATTCTTCCAAGTTGTTTCACATTGTGATCTTGCATTTGAAAGCCCTATTTGAGTTAAATGCATTGTGGCCAGCCGTCTTTGATGGCACGGTACGGTAGGGGATAGGGACGGGACAGGTACGATCGAGGGTAATACGACACCGTCTCCCGTACCGTACCGTACCATCAAACACAGCTGGCCACATACAGCTTCCCGCAATATTCAAATAGGGCTTTCAAACGCAAGATAATAACGTAACGCAACTTGGAAGAATGGGTATGAATGCGAAGTGTATGGGGGGAATGCATGTAGGGCGATAGTGCGGGTTCGAATCCCAGGATATGCCTGAAAAAAAGGAGAATTGAAAAATTTATAACATCCTATGCTTTTTTGCCGTCAGATACGGATAGCGCCAGGCGTGACACAAACAAACACCAAATTAAAGCTGTGTGGACCCTGGCTAGCGCCAGACGTTACTGAAGTAACGTCTTCTGCATAGCTACGGGAATAATTATTATTATTATGACGTGTTAAAAATTCACCATTTCCAGCGATGTGCCGATGAAAATATAGTGGACCGTGCTCAAATAATGAAAGAAAGCAACTAGGCGCTACACAAATTGTAGTTGCGCAACCTAAATCGCGTCCTTTTTTGATCCACCACGTGCTTTCTTAGTGCGCATGCGCAAAGCGATGAGCTCAAATAAGAGACCGGGTCTCTTATTCGGGCATGGTCTACTATTTTTCAGTGAGGCCTCTAGGAGGGTCTACTATTTGAGCATGGTCTATTATTCGAGCATGGGCCATTAATCGAGGAAATACGGTAAGAGATACGAACAAAGAAAGAAAATAATAGGTAACATAATTCGCATCTTTTTTTGGCGCTACACTCTGCGTATATATACTGCTCTTGTGTGGCTTCCACGGTATTCATTGTTATTACCTGACGGTGGCCAAGTGCCGAAACGTTGTAAAAAATAACGGAACTGGTTCGGATGTGATGTGCAGCGCTATGGGAATGGGTGTGTCCACCCGAATTCCTTTCAGAGATGAAGCTGCAGGACGCCTCAGCCCTTCTTTAAAGAAAATAATGTACCTATAAACTAAACTAACTCACAGTGCATCATTATCTCTCAGCCTGCGAATCATATTCTGGCATTTCTGAGCAGCAGCACGGCGTGGCCTGGCGGTGTGACAGACGCGTCGTTGTGAGTAGCAGCTGGTTCCTGAGTGCCAGAGACTTGACTGCCATCACAAGCTACTTCGATAGGGTACAAGTGGGAAACTGGGCGACGGACTTGTTTCTGAGACGCAAATTGTCGGCATGTCCAAGGATTCTCGAGTGGATTCTCTGATGTAAGTTCGACTGGAACCAGTATCGAACAAAAGGCGAGCTTGAAGGCTTTGACCTGACTCGTCTTGGATGGTAGCAAGGGCCGTCTGCATGGTAACATGTCCACAAGTCTATGTCAAGGTGTGAGTTGCAGACGGAAAGGGCGCAGCATCGACGTTCAAGGTTGTGGAGTTCTTCGGCTTCTGCTCCGAATTCTTTGCCAAGTCACCGTCAAACTTCTTATGGCGCAAGCTTCTGTGATGCTTGCACAGTTGACAGTGTGGAAGCATGTGCTTCTGTCTCAGTCTAGAAACATGCCGTACGCACTAGACCGTCGTGATTACTATGAACTTGGAGACTGGCCATAGCAGCAGCAGCCCAACACCTGGTGTCCGGGATTCAGGAAAACTAGAAACAGACCGTGCAAGTTGCGCATAGCAATAATGACAGCAGAAGTGAGCGGCACATTGTGGCAGGGAGAGCAACATACGGTCACAGTGGAAGCATGTGCTTCTGTGTCATCATGTACATTAGTATCAAGAAAATGGGAAACATAAGATTACAATGGAGGGATAAGAATTGAGCCGGTGTCAGAGGACCCCCCACGCCCCAGAACTCGTCAGCATGAGCAACAAGTGGCCTGGTGTTCACAACAGCTGTAAAATCGATGCCAAAAGGTGTGCATTCTGGCTGGACATCGGTGATCATAGTTTCATCTTCTGCAACACACTCTTCAAACTCATCAGGAGTGGATGTGGTCAACCGTACAGGATCCTGAAAATACAGCGTACGGTAGTACAGTACGCATAGCAGGTTTTAGACGCACGAGGCGCAAACATGCACAAATAAGGAGTTGTGGACTGGTGATTGTCTCGCGATTCGCAACGACAATCACGATTCCTGATTTGTGTTTGTGTTTGTGTTATGTTTTTTGTTGTTGTCGTTGTTGTTGTTGTTGTTGTTGTTGTTGTAGAGGAGGATGAACGTTTAGCTGATGAATATGATGTCGATCTCTCCATTTTCTACGAACCAAGTGAGTGTACATTTTATTTACATGTTGTGTGCCATCTATGTGCCTGTGTGTGCGTGTATGCACGTGTGTGTGTATGTGGGTGTGGGTGTGTGCTTGTTTGTCTGTGTATGCATGTCCATCCGTGTGTTTGTGAGCATGTGTGTGTATACGCGCATGATCGCATGCACACACATGCACGTGTGTATGTGCGTGTAGAGACGTTGCGGTTGATTTCGCGAGAAGTTGTTTTTGTTTTTGTGAGCTCCTGTCAGCATCTACTAGTACTTGGATATTGTATTGGATACGCCTTGTTTTGTTGAAAACATGTTGTAGGTTGACAGCATGTTACAAGGCGGAGGACCCACACTGTGTTCGGAAACAGTGCCCCTTTCTACAACCTCCACTCACACAACTCCCTAGTATAATGAGGGTCAGAACCAGAGCTAACACCCATACGGTTCAAATGGTGGCAAGACCGAGGCTCTGGCAACCGTGGAGGTTGTAGTAAGGAGCACTGCTTCCGAACACGGTGCGTCCTCCGCCTTGTAACATGCTGTCGAGCAACTACTTGAATGTAAACCCATAGCGCATTGCCAGATATGGAAGGTATGAGTAATGCATGTGAGTACACTGGGATCAGCAATGCACTGTTCAACACCCCCACGACCGTGCCCAGGTGGCTGTGTGGGGTGCTTATGGTACAAATTACGTCATTACGCAATGGGCTTATTACATTGGCTGACGTTTGTTGTTCTGTGCGTTCATCTACTCATTCACCCGTTTTCTGTTTTCAGATAGCGGTACAAAGGATGCGAACGACATCATGGACATGGAAATGGAGACACAGCGACGTCATGGCAAACATGTAGTCGACTGGAGGGGCAAGACGGGTTTCGACAAACTGACAAAGGTAACGCACTCTAAAACCGTAAATTTAATGTGTCACAAAGTCTAACGTTTTTTAAAAGGACCAATTTTTTTCGTTATTTGAAGAAACGTTATCGTGAACCCGGTTTAAGATGTCTGTGTAAAGATGCGCATACATCGATGCATGTTCTTTCTGTTGTACAAACATCGTTTTAAACTTTCTGCACGTTATCACGCCAAAATTACAAAAACATTAAACTTTCTGGTCGTTAAACTTTCCGGTTTTATCACTCGCAGACTCCACTGCAGCCGTTTACACATTAGGAAACAGTACCTCAACTCAAGCACTCCAAATACTGTCTCTTTGCTACGTACGTCACTCACTGTTCACCAAATGGTCGTTTGCTGTCATAACTTACTTTTTGAGCACATAAAATTTCTGAAAATTGAAGTACTATGCTGTGTAGATTGGGGCAAGTGCAATAGAATAACGATGCCCTTGATCATGTTGATTCTCTTTTCTTCTGGAGTTAGTTAGGAAGGGTGCTTGATGGAAGTCATGAGGGCCGCTGTTCGTGTGTGTGTGTGTGTCTGTGTGTGTCTGTGTGTGTCTGTGCATGCACCCGTGTTTTCACATGTCACAGGGTTTCGGTGGTCGTGTGCTGCGAGATCAGGGCTGGGCGGCTGGCAAGGGACTGGGCAGAGCGGCTCAGGGTATTGCAGAGCCGGTGGAGGCAGACGGGCAGACTGGACACGACAAACGAGGACTTGGGTAGGTTCCTCCTCCTACACTCCTACACTCATGCATGGCTAAGCCCATTGCGCAATGACGTAATTTGTACAGTAAACACCCAACACAGCCACCTACCTGGGCATGGCCGTCTGGGGGTGTTGAACAGTGCATTGCTGATCCCAGCGTACTCACATAACACCCCACACACAGCCACCTAGGTATGGTCGTCTGGGGTGTTGAACAGTACATTCCTGATCCCGGTGTACTCACATGCATTACTCATACCTTCCATATTTGGCAATGCGCTATGGGCTTATAGTCATGGGCAAAGAGATCAGACCCACGAGTCTAAAGTAGCGTTGTGCTTCCATTCAATTGCATCATGCACGGTCCCAAAAACACCCACCCAAGGGCCGCGTGAGCCTGGCGCTGCTTTCGGCTTACGGGTCGCATCTCTTTGGCCGCGACTGAAGAATTGTAGCATTGCCTCGAAACTCAGCCCTGTTGTTTTAAACCTTCATCAGTTTTAAGGGAATAACAAATGTAAAGTCACATGGAAAACTCTACACACACCATTCTCAAATCAAGTGGTCTCTTTCATCCTGATGATGGCCCCTGGCCGAAAATTTGATTGAGACATGAGTTATTTTGCAGCGAAGAGACCACTTGATTTGAGAATGGTGTGCGTAGGGGTTTCCATGTAATAGGCTATTCAGACTACGTCCACGTTTTGCGTTTCGGTACTTGGACAAACGGCGATCAAGTGCACTGGTCGTTCAGACATGCGGTATGCGGCCGGTACACAATCGCGTTTTTGAGTGCGTTGCCAAGGTTAATATTATTTATGGCGGGTTTTGTTTGCCGGGAAATTTGAAGTACTCAAGAGAAAGGAAAAGGAAAATGTTGTGTCTTTATGACTCCATTTATTTGAGTGTTTTGGAGGTGGTTTGTTTTTGTCGAGATGGAGGAGACTCAGAGGAGACGTGCTGCCGTGTTGTTCCTGCTGTTGATCCGTGGATTGAATCAGCTACCACCTGACAGGGGTATGGACTTTGAGACTTTTGAAGACACGGACGTCATACTTCAAGTAGCTCATAAAACTGCAATTGACTGTGGCCGTCGTAGGTTTCCGGCTCGCGACCTGTCAGTGTGACCTGTCCATTTTTCATGACCCTACCTCTGATGTTGCAACATATACCTATGAAGAGAAGATTTTGGTCTGCCCACACACCGACTGACATGGAAGGGCACTGGGAGTATGAAGTTCGAGGAACATGGAGGATAATTGGCGACCGCTTTCCGGATTATGAGGATAAAAAATACTTCGAATATTTCCGAGTGGATGTGACGACATTTGGGCAGTTGTACGAAATGTTTGGACGGAGGATGCAGAAGCAAACAACTCGTCTGACAACCACTATATGCGGGAAAAAGCGCATGGCGATTTCCCTTGAGTGGACGGCACACTGCCCGCCATACCACAAGCTTGCTACTGAGTACCACATTGGAACATCAACGGTCCACAGTACCGTACTGGCAATATATGTTGCCGCAGTGAGGCCATGAAGCGTTACATTGGCACATGTTTGCCGCACGCAGGGCGTTACATGCAAAGTCGCACAGGAACCGTTACACAGGTTTCTATATTGCCGCAGTCCTTTTTTTGCTATTGCCGCATCACTTTTTTGCTATTGCCGCATCATTTTTTTGCTTTTGCCGCATCATTTTTTCTTTTCATCCACATTGAAGGCACAGAAATTCAGTTGCTATCCAACTGTTATAAACCCGACGGCAAAGGGCGACAACGATATCAATAGAAGACTGTATATTTTAACTATCAGAGTGCAAAACGACCTCGGGAAAGAAGAAACCATTGTGATCGCCAACCACTGAATGATGCGCCTTCGAGTGTCAGGACTTCCTGCTGCGTCCAGTTTTGAACTTTTCACCACGCGGTACACGTGCTTTCACAGTTTTCAGCCTTTTTTTGCAGTGCAAACTGCAATGAAAAGATCGCCGCACCCCGCCGGACGCGCGTTACGAACTCAACGAAAATTTGTCGCACTAGCCTGGTCGCGCGTTACGCCGCACCCCCCTGCGTTACGCGTTACGCGGCAACATATATTGCCAGTACGGTATCATCCAAGATGGCATGGAGGCATTTCTGCCACTTGTTCAGCAAGTGTGCAAGTTTCCATCTGCTGTTGAACTACTAGTAGACCAGACTATGGAGGATTTTGCTAGTTTGTGCCATCTCCCAGGCGTTGCAGGAGCTCTTGATGGGACTTTCATGCACATCTTGAAGCCAATTGAACATGGCGATGCGTGCTACTGCTATAAGGGCTACCCAGCAATTGTGTTGCTTCTGTGTGTGGATGCCAGAGGCATCATTGCGTACATCAATGCTGGGAGAGCTGGCTGTATGGGCGATGCTTATACATGGAACACATGCAAACTGCGCCAGGATATCGACAATGGTACGCTTCTTCCTGCCGGTGCCTCCATCAATGTGTTGCACCGTGATGTCCACCCATGCTTAGTTACAGATTCGGCAGTTGCATCATCTTCTGCGCTGATGAAATGTTACGATGGCAATGGCTTGAATCCCGTACAGAAAGATTTCAACCACTGTGTTATCCGCACAAGGCGTGTTGTGGAAAACGCCATTGGGCGTGTCGAAAGGCCGCTGGACTATTTTGGTCCGCAATTTCATTCGTGACCCACGGTTTGCGTCTCGCGTTGCTCTTGTTGCAGCTGCTCTGCACAATGTTTGTGAGCGTTGCCAATGCCCGTATGAGGATTCCTGGCTACCTGCTCCTCCAGCTGCGGTGCCCGAGCATGTTCATCAGCCGCCGAATATACTCGATGCAGCTGACGCCATCCGAGATACTCTAGCCCAACATGTTCATCAACTTCTTGTTTAGAACCCAGTTCAGAAACTTTGTCTTGCACTTGAACAAAACTCATCTGATGTGTTGCCGCGGCTCACCCGAAGTGTACATAATTATGTCTTCAATAATTAATTATTCTTATGTTTACACTGCTTATACCTCAAAAACTTTGAATATGTTCGATTTTGCTTGTGTTTTTCTTTGTTTCTCTTTCTTCCCTAACGCTGCAAGCACCTTTGTGCCGTGCACTTATTGTGCGCCAAACCTTGAACATGCACTCTCACACACACATACATGTCCTTAGGTTGACTGTACGGACTCGCGCCGTTCCTTTTGTGTCACGCGCACATGGTGGCGCAAGCACGCGGCTTTATTTGGGTTTTGTAGTTGTTGTTGTTTTTTGTATCCTCGCTTGGTCAAGTTGAGAAGGATTCGGATTTTTCTTCTTCTTGAACTGTTGAAGTTACTTGTGAAGTTGTGAACGAACCCGTGCTGTGTGCCTGTGCATGCCCTGGCTACTCGTAGGTAGTTTAGCGGCTCAGTCCGCGCAACATGTTTGCAGGACGAACAAAAGACATGTTTTTTTAATTGATAAACCACAAACCTTCAGACATGGATTGATGAAAATACAACTACATCTACACGTATAGAGAAGGCAGCACAAAACGGCAGTGGTGGTGGGGAGGCCTGTGCGCCTCATCCGACCATGGGTCTCGGAGTAGACACCGAGCAGGCACACCGGGATATGGAGACAATTCGTGGTGGGGTGGGGGAGGGGGACAAGTATGGACAGATGTTGTGCATGCGGGTGTAAGGAGGTAGACGGTGATCAGAAGTACATCATGGGCAAGCGCATAGTCGGCACGCAAAGCTAGAGGAGTAAGAACTCAGTTCAGGAACAGTACTTCTTCATCAGTGACCCCATGAACTCGAGGTTTGCTCGCTGCATCATCACAGTTGTCTGCTGTGAATTCTCTTGCAGCCGTTGCTTGAATTCTTGGTCCCCTTGCTGAGCCTTCTTCCTGCGCTCGTCCCTCTCCTCGTCATCTTTCCGGCGCCTTTCCTCCATTTCCTCTTCGGCTTTACGCCGTTCTGCCTCTCTCTTGGACTCGTACTCCATCCATTTCGCTTGCACCTCGATATCATGTTCGAACTGCCTCTTCTGAGTCTCTAACTGTGCTTCCTTCATTCCATTCAGTAGTGCCTCAGAGTGCAGTTCATGCCTTGCTGTACGCTTTACTTTCTTCGGAGGTGACACATCGGTTGCCGGGTTGTGTGCACCACTAGCGCTGCTTGGCACAGGGGTTGGTGGGAAATCCTCCTCCTCCAAATCTGTACATCAACAATAGAAGTTGTAAGAAAATTTCATAATGATGTTCAAGTAATGAAAATGGTAAAAACGGAGACACAGAACTTTGAGGAATGCTGTTCCTTCAAATTCTACACACTGAATATTCCGATCCAAAACATCTTCGGCGGTATTCTATTTATACATTTTCTTTAAAACTTCCCAAAACACCCCTTTTTCAAACCCCAGTGGGTACCGGGTCCATTGTTATTGCTAGCCTGTTCTGGTAACCACTATAAACAAAGTGGACAACAACAACATTCAAGTACGAACACCACCACCCACCCACCCCCCCCCCCCCCCCCCGTGCGCTTTGTGCAACAGGGTGTTCCGGAAAGCACCATTCGCATCGTGTTCCGTGTTTTATTGTGGCATCCTATGCGACAATCAGAACAGAATCAAGATTATTCACCTGAAAATGATGCATCTCCAGAACTGGACCTTGCACCTGGGGCTTCCAAATGGCTAGCACCGCTGATCACCTCCTCGTCAGGTACAGGCTGTGCGGCACACGGACTCAAGGTATCCACGCATTCACCTGGACCCCACTGCGGATGCTTGAAAAAGAGATTGTGGTATTGCTCGAAATTGGGCCACATCGACAGCGCTGCGACCAGATCGAACATCGACTCGTCCAATGACGTCCCGGTGGCAGTTGGCAAACGGATTTGCTTGTACAATTCCCTGCCTTTCTTTTTTAGGCTGTCCACCTTGTTGTGGACTTCTTGCTGGGTGAAGATTTTTTCACCTCGCTGCTGATTCAGTAGGGAGGTGGCTTTTTGCTCCTTCGCCGCCCGACTGGGACATAGATTTGTCCAGGCTGTGAAGGAGATCTGCCCAAATTTTCAGGAAGATGCGCTCCGCATTGTCGGAAAACGATCTGTTCGGCATTTTCACTACCACTGAGAGACTTTCGCTACAACTGACAACAGACTCCCAAATTTCCACACCTCTGCATGTACTGTGACAAACGCCAAACGAAACGAAAAACTGGAGTCCGAGCTTGTCGTTCACGTGTGCGATTTCGCGCTTCAGATCTCCCGCCACGTTCGCCGTCACCATGGAAATATGGCCGTAAACGTCGATTTGGACGTAGTCTGAATAGCCTATAATGAAGTGGCTGCAGTGGAGCTTGCGTACCTTAAAGAAAATGGGAAGTCTGAAGAAAATAAGTTAAATAACTCAAAAATTAATATACTCTGACTGAGTCTGTGAACCTGATAAAATGTGAATGCTTCATGACATAAGACAGTTGGTCACTCCTCACACCATGCACACTATAGTACTAGAGCTGGCGCTTTTCCCGCTGAGCCGACTTGACACCTGACTGACTCACGACTGCCATCCAGAGCGCATGAGAAGTCCATCTACGGGGCAAATCAAGTCAGCAGAAAAGCACGATCTCCAGTGTGGGGAGCGACCAACTTTCCTATATTATCGTCGAAATCGGCACCACTATTTCGTATTGAATGCTTGCAAACCTGATGAGGACAATTTTGCTGAACGTTCTAAGAATTGATAACACGAGTTTGATACTATTGCAATGCACTGTGTCCGTGTGTTTCCTTGTCCATGTGTGTCCGTGTGTGTGTGTCCATGCGCGCGTGTGTGTGTGTGTGTGTGTGCATGCTGTAGGTTTCTTGGCGAGAAGCTACGTCGTGACGTGTGTGGCGCTGCCAAGCCCCAGCGTCACATCACCACCAAGTACGACGCCAGTGATTACACAGACACCATGCTCAGAACGCGAGGACCGCTGGCACAGAAGCGACTGCGAGCGCCAAACACAGCCACCGCCGCCGACTCTGCTGCTGCTGATGACAACGGTAGCCGGGCAAAGCGGAAACATGTCAACGAAGAAGGCAACGTTGCTAAAATCAACAATTGATCGACTGGCAATCCATCTAAAGTCCAGTATCATTTTTTAAATCTAAAACATGAAAACACCGTGCAGCGCAAGTAATGCGTCGAATCCACCCACCACCACCACATGTTTGACCAGTCAGAGTTGCACAAGTTAGCACAAAACTGGCAAGGAGTACTACAGGCATTGAGACATTCCACACATATTTTTTATTATTTGGATTTCCCCGACAGCATCAACCAGCACTAGTCCTGCAGCTGTGCAGCTATGTTTCATGGCCATGTTGGTTTTGACAGTCCAGTCCTATCTTTATTTTTTTCTTCGCCGAGGTCACTATCACTACGTGGTATTGCTTGATCGAAGCTGATGGAGTTTTTTTTATTTTCCAGGGGACAATCACAAGCTGACGTAGGACATTCCTTCATTTCTGTTCTCAAGTTTTTCACTACAAACTCCGTTTTTTTTAAATTTACTTCATTCCTGGATGTCGCTGGGAATCTACACACACACACACACAGAGATTCTCTGGGTCTTGTGACTCTTGCACTTGTACTACAAGTACACTGGTACACTGGTATTATTAAAATACAGAAACAGAGTGTCTAGTCGGCGCCCCGCAACCGCAATCTTTGCTTGTGTGCCCATTCCATGACACGCCTCACCAAGACTAAATGAAAAAGTATATCCAGGCTGATCCACTGCATGGAGGGACTCCTCTAATCGCCAAGCAGCAGCAGCAGTACCGCCCGCAGTCTAGTTTGCGAATTCTTTGATAACAAAATCCGTTTGCACAAAAAAACCCCTGCTTGACTAGTCGTGTACATGTACATGTATGTGCAGTGCACACATAAGCAAGCTATACTGCGGCTTTCAATAATACAATGTCATTCTGTGGACACAGCCACGCTCTAAAAAGCAGCACATACACACACACATACACACACACCATTGGACCATTGGACGCCCATCGCTGAAGGCGATGATAGCGATGCTACAGCAGAAGCCATAGCAGCTTGTGCTGGGATTGCACCATTCAACAACTTGCAAGGCTGAAGAATTGACCGCGCCACTATTCAGCCTGGTCTACACCACACAGCTATGAAGTGGCTTTTTCTGGCCAGTGAATCCCTACTTTTTGGTCTTTTTTCATTTTTTTTTCCCCGCACACACATCACACCACATACTCCGGCATGCACTGGCTGTTGGTAACCACCCAGGAGAATGAAAGAAAAGTCAGGAGAAGTCTGAGAAAGAGAAGAAAGACGTGTGTGACCGTAATCGTCGGGAATCGAACCCGCAACCTCTAGATTGGAAATCGCTGCACCATATGGGGCACACACACACACACACACACACACACACACCGACAGAGTACCGATTTAACCTAAAGAAGCATTAGGCCACACGTTTTTATTTCTATGTTTCTCGTCACCTGAAAACCTAAAAATGTATGCGAGAGGTGGAAAAAAATAAAAAAGGACCGAAAAATAAAAAAAAGTTTATTAGACCTTTGTTCACACTAAAATCCACCAATACACCATGCAAAATAGCATCCATAGTTAGCAACTAGTATGTGGTAGGAGCTTCTGTCACAATCTGAGCATGTGCTGCTAAATTGCGCACAAAAATGCCATCCTTGCATCATGTGTCGCGCAGGCCAGGCCACATTATGTCCATGTGCATGAGTGTGCTGGTCCCCACATGCACAGTCAGTGTAGCACTTTTTTTTTAATTTTTTTATTCCAGACTCCTGAATCGTATGCGCGCGGGTGACGAGAAACATAGAAATAAAAACGTGTGGCCTTACACGGAAAGAGTTGTATCCGCTACAGTATCATAATTACCTGTCACAGCCTCACAGGTCGATCACGGTGACATCACCATTTGTCACTGTGACATCACCATTTGTAAAGGATTATAATTATGTGTGCTAGTTGTAACCCTATATTATGTATTCGACAGTTGTCTACACTGGGCTTTGAAAAACAGATTATAATACCACTGAAACGTGAACATCTGTGGAAACCTAAACATGACAATAGCCTAACTGAAACCTAAACATGACAATACCCTACCTGACACCTAAACATGGCAATAGCCTACCTGAAACCTAAACATGACAATAGCCTAGGCATGCTGATTGCTACAGTAGTATAGGGGTAATAGAACCGATAATGCTACCTAATGAAAAAGAAACATTCATTGTGTGCTGGGTGTGAGGGCAGATAGAGCAGATGTGTTGGGACGTTTCGTTCTCCATGTTATGTACGTACGGACACACACACACACACACACACACACACACACACAGAACTGCACGGCAAGAAGCAAAGGACTCGTATCCTGCAGGGCTGTGACGACAACAGCCGAGGCTGGATGGGCCTCATCGTCGACATCACGCCATGCATCACCATCCAATGCGTAACCGGAACAAGTAGAACGAAGGCAGACAGGTCTAAATTCCGCGATGTGTTCACACATTGGCTCCGCCACCTCCTTGCTGCTGCATCTGCTGTCGCATCATATCCATCATGATGCGCATTCGCTCCAGCTGTGCACGTGCAATTGTAACAATGTCGTACATTATGGATACAAACAAACGGACAACGAACACAGTGAGTCATTGCGTGTGTACGCACATGGGCGGAGAAAAGGAGAATACGTAAATGAATGCACACAATCATATTACAGGCATGAATAAGCACATACGCACGCACACACACACACGCACGCATGCACATACACACACGCACATGTGCACACACGCGCACACACACTCTCACACACACACAGGCACACACACACGCACGCGTGCACACACACACACACACAAGCGCACACACGCACACACTCTCACACACACACACACGCACACACACACACACACTGACACAGGCACACACGGGAATATCCACTCTGCTCGTCTAACGTTCACTAACCTCTTGTTCCTTTTCCACCAGTTTGCTTGCCACGTCGCCTTGTTCAGTAGCCGGCGCAGCCTGTGTATCACCGAATGGCCTGCACAAGATACGTGCACATGCACCACACGCACACACGCGCGCGAGCACACACACACGCACACACACACACACACACACACACACACACACACAAACACAGAAGGTTCACCGTAAGCCTCGCCAAAATGGATCTCATGTTGATGCAAGCGAACAATATGGCACTAGCCATTACGACCTGGGAGTGATGTCATAATAGCTGACAATGACATCATAGTGGATGACACTGGTCACTGGTGTCATAGACTCATAGTGGATTACAATGATGTCATTGCGACCAATGGTGATGTCATAGTGACAAGCAAAAATGGCATAGTGACTGGCAGCTAGTGAAACCTGTTTAAGGTGACCGCTCAAGGGACCTTCAAAATGTGCTTTCCTTGTGTCTCCAGTGCCATTTGACTGGAAATATCAACCCTTGGTCCTGGCTGTAGCGGTCCTCTGAGACAGGTAATCGCCTTGTCAGGTTTCCTTAATCAAAATCAAAAACACCAAACGGGCAGAATGATGCTAAGCCCCGAGATGTCTTGATGCATAGTTACTATGACGCTCATCATTCGCTCCCGTGTCACTGGACAGTTCTGTTCGTTTTGGTTTTAGCGAATTAAAATAAAGAAAACAAACACAAACAAACAAACAAACAAACAAACAGGAGAGGGCAGCATGTTGGACAACTCACCTCCCCGACTTGGCTAATCGTCCCGAGCGGTAGTTCTCGTAATGTATACCAACGGTCACCTCCTTCAAGTCTTGCATGTGCGTTCTCATCAAGATGTTGCGCAACTGCGGAAACTCACTGTGCTTCGGGTTTTCAACTGCAACAACAACAAGAACAACAACAACAACGACGACGGTGACGACGGCACAGAACAGAATGAACAAACGAGAGAGCTTGGAAGCTCAGGGCCCTACGCTATGCTTTTTTGCCTTGATGACCTAGACAAAAAAAAGCATAGGGATGTTATAAATTCTTTTAAAAAATCCTTTTTTTTTAAGACATAACCTGGGATTCGAACCCGCACTATCGCGCGCCCTGCATGCATCCCCCGATACACTTCGCATACATACTAATTCTTCCAAGTCGTTTCACATTGTGATCTTGCATTTGAAAGCTCTATTTGAATATGCATTGTGGCCAGCCGTCTTTGATGGCACGGTACGGTAGGGGATAGGTACGGGACAGGTACGATCGAGGGTAATACGACACCGTCTCCCGTACCGTACCATCAAACACAGCTGGCCACATACAGCTGCCCGCAATATTCAAATAGGGCTTTCAAATGCAAGATAATAACGTGAAGCAACTTGGAAGAATGGGTATGAATGCGAAGTGTATGGGGGAATGCATGTAGGGCGATAGTGCGGGTTCGAATCCCAGGATATGCCTGAAAAAAATAGGAGAATTGAAAAATTTATAACATCCTATGCTTTTTTGCCGTCAGATACGGATAGCGCCAGGTGTGACACAAACAAACAAACACACAAACAAAAAAATACCAAATTAAAGCTGTGTGGACCCTGGCTAGCGCCAGACGTTACTGAAGTAACGTCTTCTGCATAGCTACGGGAATAAACGTTTAATACAGTCATGCCTCGCTGAAGATAGCTCGGGTCTATATCGCGAAAAATATCGGAGGTCAAAAACCACTTTTTGTCCAATTTTGTTCAAATGTTCAGGGTTGAAGCATCACGAGGGCAAGCTGTTAATCCCAATTTGTTTAACTATGTTTAACTAACGGAAGTTTGGACGAAACAAACAGGTAAGAATGATTTCCAGTGATTCCCATTGTGGAATGTGACCAACCAAACGCAACCTAAGTTGTCCTGGCAGTGCCTACCTTCCACAACGCCCCACGGGTAAAGACGACCTCGCACCTTCTTACCACCGACTTCCAGTACCTGGTTGGAGCTGACCACACCGAACGGCATACACGACTGAGCCGACGATGCACGTAGACACACAGACAACATCGAATACGACAATACACATGCACACACATGCACGGACGCACACACGCACGCATGCAACGCAGGTGAGACAGGTGGTCTCTAAGACACGTGGTCTGTCAAGGCAGGTGGTTTCTAAAGCAAGTGCCCTAGAACGACAGGTGATAATGTTCAAAGACAGGTGCTGAGCTACAGTCCATTCATTGGAAACTGGCACCCTAACTTTTTAGTGTCTCTCTCACATAGTTGTAGATATCGTGAAAACAACAGTACATCCTGCATTGTGTGACCCGTGCAATTACTCCTTGCCACATTTGAGGCCAGAAAAGTCCAAGAACAGGGAAATAGAAATTCAGCCAGGTTTTACAAAATTAGGACAGGAATGCCATGGCAAAATGTATGGAGAAGCAGATCCAAAACCCAAATTTTTGAGATTTAAAGTGGGTTTTTGATCCTCAATTCGGCCCAAATCTGACTTTCAAAAGCCAACGGGCCAGTTTCCGATGAATGGACTGTAGTCCCGAAAGACTGGTGCTCTCTTTATGCAGGCTTTCTGTACTAGTATTGTTGCACTGTAGCGGACATTAGACACCCTTAGCAAACAACGATAAAGCTATTTTTACGGTACTCGTGCCTTGATCACCTATATAGCGCTGAAGTTGCAGCGTAAAGGCTTAATTGGGGCTGATTTATCGTTGTGACAAACGGTACGTTTTTCGGCCAAATATTGCGTAGTGCGTACCCATTTCACCTTGTATAGCGTATATGGCGCAATAAATGGTTGTACCGCACGAAATATAAGCTACTCTCATGGAAACAGCATACTAAAACTAGCGTGCATCTTGCTAAAGGTCGAACCCAAATATCGTTATTTTTCCCCTTACGGTAATACCGTTACAGCATAGCGTTTTTTTTTGCTAAGGGTGTCTATTGAAATCCGTTCGGAAGCCAAGCGGCCACGTGGCGCTGGCCTTGCAGCCGCCGTGAGCACTGCGTGTCCATTTTTACAGCGTGCACGTGAACTACCCGTGTCTTGTATGCGCTGAAAGCAGTAAGGGTGCCGGCCACGGTCAGCCTGTCGGATTTCAACACGGTGTCTGTGTAGAACTGTCCGTGCATGGAAAAAACGGTCGTTACGAGCAGGAGTTGTCCCTGCCCTTTAGGAGGGTATGTGCCCCTTTTGGCACACGCTGAACTCAGACGTCGCTTACACCAGGTTTTACTGCAGTATACCTTTAGCTCTTGGTTCTCTTCCTCGTCTGTTTCTCCTCCTTGGTAGATGTGAATGCCATTCTCCCGGATCTCCAACAGAATCTGAAACACACAAACAGACGCACAGGAACGCTTATGCACAGCTCTTGAAGACACATGCATACAGACAGACGGACGGACAGATGGACGGACGGATGGACAGACACGGATGGACGGACGGACAGACAGACAAGTATCAAGTTTTGTCAAACCAGATTGACTGACTGCTCGACTGCCTGACCAACAGACAGACAGACAGACAGACAGACAGACAGACAGACAGACAGACAGACAGACAGACAGACAGACAGACATACAGACAGAACTGTGTACAGGCAGGATGTCTGACGCCGAAGAACGGCCAGGCTAGAATTTCACCAAGCACAGCATACCAATGTATACACAGAGACTCAACTGTGCAATATCTGTAGTATATTACAAAACAAGACCGGCGTAGGCGACGAGGCTGACCCTCTCTCCCAGTTCTTAGGCACGCGGCATTCCTGGACTTACTTTTTTCTTGAGTCTCTGTAGTTCCTGTTTGGTTAGCATGTCAGCTTTACCGATCACTGGTATGACGTTGACCTTGCTGTCTAGTTTCTTCATCACCGCAATGTCTAGAGGACGCAGCCTACAGTCGAAGAAAAACGCATAGGGACACACACACACATACACATGCACACACACATGCACATATGTGCGCGCACGCACACACACACACACACACACACACACACACACACACACACAAACACACACACACAAACACAAACACACACACACACACACACCATCACTCAAAATTGCCAAAAGGGTCGCTGGCAGCACACAGCACATCTCCTGCTACACTTCATTGCGTTTTTCTTCGACCTCTAGACTCTAGACTGACACCATAGCTTACCCATGGCCGCTGGGTGATATGAAGAAGAGGCAGCAGTGGATGCGATTGTCGACAATGTTACGCCGATTGAGACCGGACTCATCACGCAGATACCCCTCGTACTGCCTATCCACGTAGTCAATGATGGGCTGCCAGCTGGGAGGAAACACACGACACGGCGTGCAGCGTGTGAGACAGGCATGAATCTTTACAATACAGTAAAACCTGGTTTAAGCGACCGCCCTACGGTGCAAGGGTGCAAGCAAAAGCGGCCGTTAAAGCCAGGTGGTCTTTAGAACCAGGTCCCACAGTGTCTGTGTAGAACTGTCCGTGCATGGAAAAACGGTCGTTAAGAGCAGGTGGTCGCTACAAACGGAGGTCGCTTACACCAGGTTTTCAGGCGTGGCGCCGGTGCCCTTCAAGGGGGGGGGGGGGGGGGGGTTCCGAGGGCCTCCCCCAGGAAAAATTTCCAAAAATAAAGCAAAATCCTGCATTTTGAGCGAAAAAGGGGGGGGTTCCGGGCACCCAGGAACCCATACGGGGCACGCGCCTGGTTTTACTGTACTACTACTGTATAAGCAGAAATATTCGTCTGGAATTTAATTTCGTCTTTTTCGTCCAAGGAGCTTTGAGACTAAATTAAATGACGGACGAATGTCGATTTGTCCAGCGTTTCAATACACTGTTATAGTCCATGGACTAAATTTTCAACCGGACGAAATCCCTTTCTTTGGAGTTGGACGAAAATATTGACCGACGAAATTTTCTGCCCGTACAGTACTGTATGTCAACACATTTTCGGCATGTATCGTAAATTTCAGCCTCCCAGGGCAGAAACACATTTTGGCCAAATTAAATTTTCAGCCTGTGCTGTTGCCGCCTGTATGCACTGTCACACTGAACTTTGCACAACAGAATTTCGGCCGCAACAAATTTTAGGCCGAAAATAGCCAAAATTTTTGCCCCGGATATTTGATGACTTGCCGTATTATAGAAGTGGTTTTTTTAAACCCTTTGGCTCGGCGCCATACAAATTCGACGGTATACCGTCGATGCACTTCAGTGCGAACTTTGCCGTACTTTTACACGTCCTACAGGCCTGGGATTTTCCCTGGAGCGTTCTTGGGGACTCCCCAGGATACGATGCATGAAAAAACCGGGTATGCTTGCATTGACTTCTAGCCCGTGCGGAAGTGTCGCAAGTGCGCGCGTTGAAATATGCCAGAGGATTTTCACCCCCACGAGAGAGGTGGATTTCTTTCTACTCTCTCCGAGTCTTACAAGGGAGCCGATCGCAACTATTGTATCTTGCACCAACAAGTATGCTCATGCAGCAATAGCTGACAATCCAAGCTATAGTGATGATGGGCGGTGGACAGAAACCAATGAGGTTGAGATCTACCGACTCATCGGTCTCAGCCGGCTGCCATCAATTCAAAGCCACTGGATGACCCCTCTCTCTTTCACGGAAACTATGCCCGAACCATCATCCTGCGTTGTGACCGGTTCTCCGCGCTCCTTACCTTTCTGCATCGTGTGGACCATATTGCCGAGGATAATACCAACAGATTGCGCAAAGTGCGTCCAGTGAGTGATTATCTTACAGAACGCGTTCAAAAGTATTACCAGCCAAAGCAGGCAGTCTCCGTGGATGAACGCATGGTAAAATGTAAAGGGCGGTTTGCATTCAAGCAATACATATCCAAGAAACCGGTGAAGTGGGGCGTGAACGTGTGTATGCAGCCGCTGACGCAGCAACGTCGTACTGCTTCAACCACGAGATATACACCGGGCAAATAGCTGCCAGTGCCAAAGGACATACCCATGATGTTGTCATGCGAATATCTGCTGGCCTTGAAGGACAAGGGTATGTCATGCTCACTGACAGTGTTTATACCTTGCCTACCCTCGCATCATCCCTATAGCAACATGGTATTCAACTGGTCGGCACATGCAATCCGAACCGAGTTGGTTTTCCCAAAGTGTT